AAACTGAGGGAGAGAGTGCAAAAGGAAAATTTGGGTTCTTATGGTGGCTCTCTTGTCTGAAAAAAATGGTGAAGATTGAATGTATGTTTCAAGCAGAATCTCCCCTTCCTGACAAGTTGTTGGCTACCTCAGAAATAACTGGATCAGCAGGTGCTAATCTCTGCTCCCTGAGACAGGGACAGGACCCAAAGGAGCAGCTGGAGCTGTGCCAGGGCAGGTTTAGGTTGGATATCAGGGAAAGGTTCTTCCCCCAGAGGGTGCCGGCACTGCCCAGGCTCCCCAGGGAATGGGCACAGCCCCGGGGCTGCCAGAGCTCCAGGAGTGCTTGGACAGCGCTGCCAGGGATGCCCAGGGTGGGATTGTTGGGGTGTCTGTGCAGGGTCAGGGGTTTGACTCCATTATTCTTGTGGGCCCCTTCCAGCTCAGGATATTCTGTGATTCTGTTAAACTACTTGGATGGGATGGGGCTGCCCTGAGCAAAGATATGCACTGGCCATGTTTGAGATCTGACATGTGGGAGTCAAGGAATAGTCACCCTGAGTGACTCAAGTGTTACCACGGATTGAGCTAGGTTTGGAGAGGTGAGGCTCACAGAAAATAGGGGTAACAAGTGTTTAAGACCTGAGAGAAGTCACTGTCTCAGGAACTGGGAAGTCTGAGGTCCCATTCAATAAGTTCACACACAGGGCTCACCTTTACACATGAATCTTCAGGCCACATCTGACACCAGTTTGAGCTGTTGGAGCTGTTGGACTTTTTTGGCTGTTCCTCCAGCTGCAGGTCCAGTTTGCTAACCTTTCAATTTCTATGCCATGGTCCTTGTTTGTCTTTATTCCATAATTAGCTGGCAATAAAGTGACGTGGTCTCTGTGGTATGAATGAATCCAGACTAGCACCAACACTTTGACCCTGGGTAGATAGCAAGCACCATAGCACAGCCCCAGAAATGGCAGCAGGCAGGGACAGTCATGGTCCTAACTGCTTCCCCCAAACAGGGACAAAAGATTTGTCATGGACTACACGCTGGAGACCAGCCAGCTAAAGCAGAAGCTTCTGAAAACCATCTACAGCCTCCAGCTGAAGTCATTTACCACACTGCAATCAGCCAGCCCACTGCTGCACAGCCAGCGTGGCATGGGCATGGTGACGCAGCACCAGGTCCACCAGCTGGCAGATAAGGCCAAAAGCCTGTGTGGAGATCTGGACAACATCAAGAACCTCCTCCACTACTGCCAGGATGACTTGGTCCGGAAGATCCCCAACCCCACCGGCAGCCGCTACGGGGGTGTCAGTGGGATCCATTGCTCCCTGGATGGCTCCATCTACGTGACAGCTGAGAGTGCTCCCTGGGTCCATGTGCTCAGCAGCACAGGCCACACACTGCAGTCCCTGCCCTGCCAGCAAACGGGCAAGGGAGGCAGCATTTTCTTGCCCGAAGATGTGACTGTGACCAGGATGGGAATGGTGGCTGTAGCTGACATGGTGAATGAAGCCATCTGGGTCTTCAACCCTCACACCAGCCTCTCCAAGGGGGAATGGATAAAGATCAGGAAGGTTGGTTCCCCCAGGGGTATTGGAGTAGACTCCATGGGCAAAATCCTGGTAGCAGACTATGCACAAGGCCAAGTGCACAGCTTTGCTCTGGACCATGCCTTCAGGACACTCAATGCCCACGCTGTCCCGAATCTGCAGGGACCTCGCTACGTCAGCCCGGTGCCCAGTGGAGGCTTTGTGGTGAGCGAGGAGTGTGGAGACGTCAAGGTGTTCATGAGCAGCTGTAAGCTCCTCTGCTCCCTCAGCAGCAAATATGGACACCAGTTTGGCAACCCTGCTGGGGTCTGCGTGGACATGGACGGCAGCATCCTGGTGGCAGACGAGCAGCGCCGTACAGTCCACCTGTTCCCAGAGCATGGAGCTCCCGTCTGCCTGGTGTCCACAGGGCTGCGGAGGCCCACTGGCATGGCTTGCTCCTCCTCTGGGCACCTCTTTGTGGCAGACACAGGGGAGAACTGTGTCAAAGTCTTTAAGTACTGTGTGAGGCCCCCGTACAGACCCACCAAGGCTGGGGCATCACGTGCTGACCCCAACCAAACACACAGGTGGAGAGGAGGGCTGGTTCCCCTGCAGCCCCGCTGAGCTGTGCATCTGTTGGTGCGCTGAGAGCTCCACTGCTCTCACAGGTTCATGGAATCATGGAATGGATTGGGTTGGGAGAGACTGTAAAGACCATTTCATGACACTATCCCTGGTTGCTTCGAGCCCTGTCCAACCTGGTCTTGGACATTTCCAGGGATGCAACATTGCCCCAGACCTGACTGCCTGATGGCCCTCAGCTTCTCCAGGACTAGACCAGCTCTGGATCCACCAGAGTATGTAAAGGATGACCCAGCTACTCAGCATTGGCCTTGCATTGGTGCCTTGGCAAACTTGTTATCACCACACCCTTGATTTCTAGTGTGTTTTCCAAAGCTGATATAAATATTTCTCCTCTCTCCATGTGATTTTGATGTGCTATGGTCCCATCTTCCTGATGCCAGAGCTTGACCAGAGGGATAAGGCCATGCTAGAAGTCCATGATGTATCACAGAATCATGGAATCACACAATGGTTTGGATTGGGCCCTTAAAAATCACCTAGATCTACACCCTACCATAACTAGAGACACCTTCCACTAGATCAGGTTGCCTCAAGCCCTGTCCAGCCTGGCATGATTGAGCCAACTGGTCTGTCCTAACTCATTCCCAGGCTGTTAGAGAGGGTTTTGCAATCAGAGAACAGCACACTGGGTCTGCAGCAGACTTCAGGAAAAGGGTAGGATGAAGGTAACTCCTTCTGTGCTGCATTCCTGACCTCTACAGGGAAGCAACAACCACTACACAGAGTATGTTTCATATGGAATCGTGGAACTCCTCACACTGGCCCACATCCTGGGGTGGGAGTTGCCCTGTTGTCCTCTGGAGAGGAGGGCTCAGAGCCAGGATAAAGGCAGAGTCTGCTGTCTTTATCGCAGGGGCCAGGGGAAGGCGGGCAGGGTGTGCCGGCACAGGGACAGGCGTTTTCCTCTCCCCGCTCCAGCCCTCGGTGCAGGCACGGAACTTAATGACTCCATGGTCTCTGCTGATGTCCCAGACCCAAGTCACCACCTTTCATCCCAAATGATCCCTGGAGAAGGCCTTGTTCCCTCCTGGCCCTGGAACAGGCTCTGAACACAGCAGACACCCCGTGGGGCTCTCCAGGACCCCTCTCCCTGCAGAGTGAGGCAAGCAGGGCTGCATGGTCTGCAGGAACGGCGAGATCAGCCTGGTCAGTCCCAGGAGGCTGTGTTCCCTCCCAGAAGAACTAGTCTCCCCCATCTTATTTCCAAATCTGTGGCATCCAACAACTAAAATAAAACCCCAAACCTTTAATGTAGCCCACCCCCACTTCTGCACCTGCTCTCTCTTTCCATGTGGGACCTGCTCATGCTGCCCAGCATCTTCCCAAGCTCACCGGCCCCAGCCCACTGTTGGATCACAGGACAGAGCTCTTGGGCACCTGTGGGCACCCGCGGGTCTCCGCTGGGCCAGGGCCACTGAGATGGTCAGGATGGGGGTCAAGAGGGTCCCAGCAGCACAGCCGAGTCCCTCGCCACTGGGATGGGGACAACGGCGTTCCCTGAGGAAAGGTGAGCCCTTGGTCTTTGGGGATGAGGGACAATGGGGTCCCACATGGAAACGTGCCTGGCCTGTGGGATGAGCGACAGCAGGGTCCTGTGGGAACAGCGGAGCCCCTCGATTTTGAGAACAGAGGACAGCGATGTCCTGTGAGGACAGGTGAGCCCCCGGCCTGTGGGGATGGAGCCAGGAGTGTCCCGTGAGCACAGCCGAGCCCCTGGCCCCGCTCCAGGCGGGCGGTGGCCGGGCAGGCGGGGGCACTGCCGCTCCTTATCTCGCGGCTCAGGCGGCCCCGCCGCTCTCGGGGCCCGCGGGAAGGCGCCGGGACGAGCCCGGGGAGCGGCGCTGCCGGGAGCGGGGCCGGCGGGGCCCGGCAGGCCGGGAGCGGGGAGCGGGGAGCCGGGGCACGGCGGAACGCGGGCGGCGGGTGGCGGCGCCGGCCGGGCCCGTCCCGCTGCACGGCCCGGCGGCAGCGGCGTCTCCGAGCAACCGCGGGCGGAAGCGGCGGAGCGGAGCGGGCGGTAGGAGCGGGGCGGGCCGGGCCGGGCCGGGCGCGGGGCCTGCGCGGGCACCGGGGAGCCCCCGCCGGGCTCCTCGCAACACTGAGGGGCTGGAGCGTGTCTAGGGGAGGGAACAGAGCTGGGGAGGGGCTGGAGCACTAGGAGCGGCTTAGGGAGCTGGGAAGGGGCTCAGCCTGGAGAAAAGGAGGCTCAGGGGGGACCTTGTGGCTCTGCACAGCTCCTGACAGGAGGGGACAGCCGGGGGACTCGGGCTCTGCTCCCAGGGAGCAGGGACAGGACAAGGGGAAATGGCCTCAAGTTGTGCCAGGAGAGGTTTAATTTGTGTATAGATAGGATAGATGGGGAAATTTCTTCACGCAAAGCATGCTGAGGCACTGTCACAGGCTGCCCAGGGCAGTGGTGGAATGCCAGCCCTGGAAGTGCTCAAAAAGCCGTGTGCATGTGACTCTTGAGGGCATGGTGTGGTGGTGGTGGTGCTGGCGGAATGGCTGGATTTGGTGGTCTTAGAGGGCTTTTCCAAGCTTTATAATTCCATGGTTCTATGATTCTTTAGATCCTGGCCCTAACCCCCCTGCAAGGATCGTGGGATGCTCAGGTGTGTGTCTGCCATGGCATCAGTCCCCCTTGGCACCCTGTGGCCACAGGACAGCCTCTGGGGTGGCACTGTGGCCACATCCCACCGTTCACCTTTGCTTTTCTAACCAAAGTTCTGGAATTAATCAGCCCTGGGGTCCTGTATTCATTTGTTGCATTAACGCATTTTAGGTGGTGTTTATTTTGTTTGTTTTGGTGACCTGAGATGCATTGGTGCTCTCAGGGAAAGGTGGATGTTTTCAGCAGAAATAGGTGTATCTCAAAGATCTTAGGCACTTGATGAACAGGGACTGCATGAGCATTGGTAAGATTTTTCTGTTAAAATTAGCAGCAGTGAAGCAGTTGACTGTGATGACATTTGATATTTCAGTCTGTTGAAATGAATGAGGTGGATGAATGACAAGTCGTGGATTTGGGAATATGAGAACATTAACATAACAATAGTTGATCAGCCAGGTTTTCAACTATCAAGATATTTTGTACAGCCTGAAAATCATATCAGAATCTTCTCTGCCATGTTTCAAGCAGCCAAAGGGCAGATCATTTGACCTGAGCTATAGCCAGAGGAGTTGCGTGCATAAAACTATGTTAATTTTAAAAGTTGGAGAAGATGTAAGAGGAGGAATTCACAAACTAGAGAAGATAAGGATGGCAAGTGTTTCTGCTCCATGAGAAGCTTTCCCAGAGGATTGTGGCTATCTTTAAAAACAATCTCAGTGAAAAATAAGTGTGTATATGAAGAGTCAGTTGACAATTCCTCTCTGAAGTGTCCAGTGGATTTAAGGACAGCCGTGCGTAGACACTGAGAGTCTCTTGTAGCGATATTCACAACAACTCTCCCTCTTTCAATAGGAAAAACATCATGGGGCTGTCTTTGATATTTTTTCTTGGCCTGAATATTCCCTTTTACTGCAAAATTGCAAAGCATATCCCAAGACTTCCCTCTCCTGAGGGATTTTGTTGGCAGTGTGGTGCTGGAAGCACAGTGTTTGCAGGTCCTGAATGCACCCAGCACTGGCTTTTCCTGCTCCAGAGATGCTCCAACCCCCAGCAAGATCTGGAGGCCACAGAGGGACTTCATTTCTCCCTCTTTGACCCGAGGATAACCTCAGAGACCTGGAGTCTGTGAGGAAGCAGGATCTCAGAAGAATCATAGATCATAGAATGGTTTGACATGGAGAGGACCTTACAGACCATCTTGTTCCACCCTTACCATGGGCAGGGACACCTCCCACTGTCCCAGGTTGCTCCAAGCCCCGTCCAGCCTGGCCTTGGGCACTGCCAGGGATGGGGAGTCCACAACTCCCCTGATTATCCCACTGTAAGTGATTAACCCCAGAGGTTAATCACTGCCTATAACTGCTCCTCCATCCCTCCGTGCTGTAGGAAATTCCAGGTGCTGGGCTTTACTGGCTCAGCTCTCCTCTCTGAAAGGAGAGGAAAAAGCCACCAGGCCCTTCCCGCTGTGCATCCTCTGTCCCTGCTGTAAATCCCCTCTGTGTTCCCTTTCCAACTGACTGGTCCCTGCAGAGGAGCAGCCTCAGGGGCCTGTGGAGTTCCACATCCCTCACCCAGCTCTGAAGGACAGGAAAGGACAGCGGGGCCGGATGCTGCTGTTCTGCGCCAGCGCCCTCCTTACTGCAATTACAGTCCTGTTAGAAACCTCCACCTTATTTAAAGAGACACTGTCAACTGCCTCAAAGCTCCTTTCTGCAAAAGGCTCCCAAGGCCACTGAGATGTGTTCTTAATGAGGAGGAGAAAAGCACTAAAGATAAACAGCTCTGATAAAGTAGAGGTGCTTCTCATTTTTTAGGTTGTTGAATCTAATGAATTAAAACTACTTCAATTAATCACTGTAGCCCCTTCTGCCAAAGTTATCGTCTCAGTTTCCAGATGAGAGGAGTGAGGCAAGAGGAGCTGAGTGATGGGATCAAGGTTGCTCTGTGAGTTTGCTGCAGAGGGCTGGGTTGTAAGGTGGTAAAGGAGACTGAACCAGTGTTTGATTGTTGGTAGCAGCAGGAAATACTCCCCAGAGGCACCATGGTGAGCTGTGATGTAGTCCCTTCTCTAGGAGGTGCTCCAGCACATGCAATATGGGATCCAAGGTCTAAGGCTGGGTGAATGCCAGGTCTTGGCTGGTCTGATGGGCTGTGCTTATCTGTGTACCACCATGAAAGGCATTTCCAGGGCTGGAAGAAGGGCTTTACTAAAAAACTCCAGGCTCACCTTCTCTCACTTCAAAGACTGCAGATCATCAGGAACCCCCTGAACGTGTGTATGGCTGTTGGCTGTCACTGATGGATTATTCATGTGGTTGGGCTTAGTGTTTTCAAACATGCCTAGTTCTCTTTGGTGGCTTTGGCCAGCTCAGATTTTCCTTGCATTTACTCACCATCCTCAGGTTGAATTTTTGTGTTTATTGGCAGGTGTACATCCCTGCAGGGTCACTGCCATGGTACTGAAGGTGTTCTTTCCATCGTGCTGCTCCTCAGCAGACAGCGGCATTTTGATCGGCCGCTGGATCGCCGAGCAGAACTCTGCTGTCATCCTTGCTGTGGTGCACTTCCCCTTCATCCCTGTGCAGGTGAAGCAGTACCTTGGGGAAGTCCAGCGTGTGACTAAAGTCAGCGTTTCTGTGCTTGGCTCATGGAGCAATAGCAAACAGGAGAAAGAGGAGAGTCTCAGTGAGTTCTTGGAAGACCTTGGGACCATATTCTGCCATGAGCCATGGATCCAGATAAGCAAAGAGGGAGACAGCAAATTCTGGAGCTGTTCTATCCTTCAGAAGCACTCTAAGAACCCCCAGGAGGAGGAAATCATCTTGGTGTACTATGACCAGCGCAAGGTCATGCTTTCCCGTCTGCACCCCCCTTTGGACACAGCTGGCCAGGGGGCAGAGGATGCCTCAAAGCTCTCAGCCATCTTTGACACAGTGGCCAGGAGCCAGGTGCTGTTCATGACAGACAGGTACGACGAGGGGCCCATCAAGCTGACCCACTGGCAGTCGGATGGGGTGGAGGCCAGCATCATCGTGGAGCTGCTGAAGCAGGCCTCTGTGCCTGCCTGCATGCTGCTGACACTCCTGCTCTCTCTGCTCTCTGGGATCTGCAGGAGCAGGTAGGTGATGTGGCATCACCCAGCTTGTTCTGCCTGGAAATGTAATTCTTGGTTAGGCATTGCAGGACTACTGCTCAACCCCAGTCAGAAATGCGATACAAGATTGTTCTGTTGGAAACAGGCTGCTGCAGGAGGTCCTGTTGGAGCTCCACTCCAACAGGAAAACGCAAGGCCAGAGGCTCCCTCAGAGCTCTTCATGGAGCTGGGAGGTTTTCTGGGGAGGCATGAATGTCCTCCCCATTTGCAGCAGGGATAGTTCAGCCCTGCTTCAGTTTCATGACAGCTGAAACAGTGCACTTCCAGCTATTCTGTGGCTGACAGAATGACGTGAGGCTGTCCTTAGTCTCCATAGCTGGGGAGTCCCTTCTCCCTGTTTGCTGTGACTCCCTCTGCAGCTGTGAAACATCAGCAAATACTGTTTCTAAATCCAAATACTGTTTCTAAATCCATCCTCTCTCCAAGAGACTGTGGTGCTGCAACCTTGGCACTTTACAGAAGTTTAGAGGGATTGCTGCTCAGCCTGAATCCTTGGTGAAATCCTGTTCTCACAACTGTGAGCTTGAATAGGATGCTCCAAATGTAATACGTGACAAGTGCTTGAACTGAAAGTGCTTGGACTGAAAGCTGATTCTGAGCAGATTTGCAGGGAAGAAACTTAAAATCATGGAATCATTTGCCTTGGAAAGGCCCTCTAAGATCATCAAGTCCAATTAAGCCAGCACTGCCAAGGCCACCACTAACCCATGTTTCCAAGTGCCACATGTTTTTTAAATATTTGCAGGGATAGTGATTCCACCACTGCAGCTGCCTGGTGAGGTTGTGGCAGAGAGGAGAGTGGAGTTCTGGTTCTAAGCTGCAAGAAGACACTGTAATTGATGAAATTTTGATAACAGCTACTACTATATTCATGGATAAATCTTTTTAAGTACAGCCTAAAGGAATGGAGGTATTTAACAGGTTTCCAATTGTGTGATACAGTTGTAAAAGAATTACAGTGAAACTCTTCCCATGCAAAAATTTTCTGAGCAGTTGGGTTACACAAAAGAAAACTGTCCAGTTTTGGATTATTGGAAGAGATTGAGATTCAAACCTGATATCACCAAGGACCCCTGTGTCCTGGGACTGCTCTGTAAATACTGTGTGTTACGGGTTCTTAATGGTGATTAAGTCACAACTTTGTGGTTGGGCAGAAGATTTGGAGTCAACTCCAAAGGTCCTTTTTCTGCCTGTGTGCCATCACCACAGACAGGATGATTCTTTTCAGGTCTCACTTGGTCCCACCTCAACTGGTGCCAGGATTCAGGCCAGGCTTGGGGTCAGGTTAAGCTCAAGCCTTGCTGGCATCCAGTCTCAGTCTGCAATTGAAACATAAGTTGGGAGCTCAAGCTCAGTGGCAGGTTGGGCCCAGATAGCTGCTACCCAGCTTCTCAGGAATTCTGACTTAGCTTTTCCTAGGGCCAAGATGGATGTTTTGAGGTAGAGCAGCAGCCAGCTGTACCTGGCAGCAGGCAGAATGCAAGGCTTGGTGTGCACAAACCAACCCTGAGCCTGTCCTCAACCTTGGGAGGCAGAGCTTTCTCTCTCCTTTGTTTTATTCACCCCCAGTATCAACTTTATATTTACTTATCTCCTATGTGTTTTAAAACATCAGCCTTGGAGAACAGAGATTAGTACCTGGCTTTATAATAAGTCTCCTGCTTGACCTTCTAAGTCATTTGAAGGAATTTGGTTCCATTTTGTACCACATGCTGTGTGGTACAACCTCCTTCATGCCAACATACTCGAGGCAGGGAGAGTTCAAGATGTCACATGCAGGTATCCTTCCAGTCCCCTCCTCCCCATGCTGGGACAAGACATCCCATAAAATAAGATTTACTGGGTTTTTTTTCTCCTTCAGGTCACAGGACTTTTTTCTGTCTGGTTTTTTTTTTGTGATGTTAAGGGATAGTCAGCTTTGAAAGGCTAAAGCAAGAGATCAGCAATGTCCTCTCAGGCTGAGGAGCTTTGGGGATTTTTGGCTATGCCCCTGTTGGGTATTTGCAGGGCAGCAGTGTTGGAAATCTCAGGGAGTGAGTCACTGCCATCCCTCCAAGCTCACCCCGTGTTCCCAAGTCCTGCACATCCTGAGTTAAGGCATTTCTGCAGCACCACCGTGTGCTGAGGGGTGGCCATTGCGATTCTGCTTCCGAGGAACTTGGGGGCAGCATTCCCATTATCCCTGAAGGTCTCTGTTCTTGGGGACGTTAGGATGTTTTAGTCTTGAGGCAGTAAATTCCATGTGCTCGTTTTTAATAAAGTCTGTTTATAAACACCTCCAATTCCTCATGCAAAGGGAGGCACTGCTCCTGCAGTTTCTAGCAAGGAGCAAGAAAACACACAGGGGGTCTGGTTAATGGAGCTTAATATTTGCATGTGATCCAGATTCGGAAAGATTGCTTTTCATCTGATATCTGAAAATTCCCCTCTCACCCTTGGGAAAAAAATGAATTGGAAAATCAAGGCTTACTCATGGAGGCTGTGTTAATTTATTGCAAAAATTCCATATATTTGGAAATACCCCAAAGATCTCCTGCTGCTTAGATAATGCAATGACACAACATGACTAGATTTTTGTTGGGTTTTTTTATCTGGTTGGTTTTCCATTGAGGTCCTGAAAATGGTTCTATATAGTGTGTTGTAAACAAGTGGGAGTATTTCTGGCAATGCACAGTCAATGTGCAAAGGGGTAGGAGACCACGCAAGGAATATTTGTTTGCTCTCTTCCTCAGTCCTCACAGAGAGGAGGGTTCCCATAGCACATCTTACAGCTGCTCTATTGAGTTTTTTGCAGTATGTTTGTATTTTTATTTCAATAATGTGTGTGTATGTGAAACTGTGTGAGTGGAATAGGGATTGTGCTTGTGGTGGTGAGTGAAAAGAGAGTCAGTTGTAGCACAGACAGGGACATCCCTGGGATGTGTTTTTGGGCCCATTGAGGAGCTGAACCACTGCAGGCTGCACAATGTTTTGGTGCTCTGAGGTTGCTTTGGAAGTCATTCCCATTTGTGCAAGGCATTCCTCAGGCAGACAACAGCAGCCTGTCCTTTCTCTCCATCCTTCTGGGGGTGTCAGACTGGGGGTGAGCCAGGGGCTGGCTGCCTCCAGCTTGAGGAGCAGCCATGGATGGTGAGAGACACCCACTGCTGGGAGAGGGTGGGGCTCTCACCCCGCGAGTGTGTGGTGTAGCACAGGCCCCAGAGCTGCTGCTTTCTGCCTGAGCTGACACGGTCTGGCAGCTGGTGTTTGACCCATAATTCTTCACCTTCAGCCATCTGTACATAATCCCACAGGTAGAGCGTTCCTCCTTCCCCTTCTTTACATTTCAAGTGCAATTCTCTGCTCTAGTCAAGTTTTGCCACACCAGAGTTTGTAACCACTGAGCTGGGGCATAATTGGAAGGGAAAACTCATCTGCTCTGGTGTCTTGGTGAATCTGTGAGGCCAGGTGTGTGTGATCCGTGGCCAGAGCAGTCACCCCCTCTCCCTCCCCTGCACTGCTCTTTTCTCCACCGCCCCAGCTCCCTCCTCCTGACAAGTCAGCTGAGGAACAGTGCATTCATTTGTCTCCAAGGTGGGAGGCTGTAGCAGAGCTGAGTAACTTGGAGACCTCAAATTAAGAATGATTCACAGTACACTGCGTGTGCTTCAAACCCAATGTGTCTGAAATTTGAATGGGGAGGGAGGAGGAAGAGGGGGACTTCAACACTCTGGTCCTTCAGCTGACAAATGATGCACAAAGTAGGGTTCAAAGGGCTCAGGAGGGTGTGGGGAGGAAAGGGACAGCAGCCCCAGGGGACTGAGCAGGGTTTGGAGGAGCTGTACCTTTGTGATTGGTGTGAATTGTATAAATAGCAGTGGGCAGCCCAGTGTGCCCATCCTGGCCTGTTGTGGAGGCATCTGCTGCTGGGCATGGGCTGGCAGGCTCTGGGTGAAATCCATGCAAGGCACGCACACTTTGCAGGGACATCCATCTCCAGGCCCTGCTCAGGAATGGTCCAGGCAGCTGTGCCATTTCCAGAGTGAAGCAGGATACCAGGAATAATGGTATTGTGGGAAATGAATGTAACCTGAAAAACTGTGCCAGAGCAGCACAGGAGAGTAGATAAAGTGACTAAAAGTGACCATGGATTCCTGGACCTTTAACAAAAACCAGTAAAACACTGTGAAATAGTGCAACAACTGCACTGGCTGGTGTACTCCTGTGTACAGAAGTGATCCAAATTATGGCCACATCAGAATTTATCCCCCAAACCAAACCTGGTGCCATGTGTTGCTGGGGTTTCTGTGACCAGCCTGCTCCCAGTGCTGTGTCACTTCAGCCTGCACAAATCACCAACTATCCTTGCTTTATAGGTTGTGTGGTAATAAAAGTAACTCCCCAAAATAATTGAGCATCATTTTGTACTTTTCTTCTGAGTCATAAGAAAAGAACCTTGTGACTGTTTCCTCCCCTACAGGCCTAATGTGGATGTTAACTTTGAAACCTAATTAAATGCTAAAAGTTGGTTATCTACATAATGCTGGTCACTGCAAGGCAGTGGAGAGAGGGTAGAAGACCCCAAAAAAAGAATTTGGAAGTAATAAAGAAAAAAAAATGAGCGGGATCAAGTGGAAGAAAAAAGAAAAGCAGGGGGGAAGGGACATAAACTGCATGGAGGGCACAGCTGTTTGTTATACCAGGCTCACACCACATAGAGAGTTGTGATCACCTCTCCTCTGGAGCCAGGCTGGGAGAGCTGGAGGGGTTCACCTGGAGAGCTGAAGGCTCTGGGGGGACCTTAGAGTCACTTCCAGTGCCTAAAGGGGCTCCAGGAGATGTGAGGGAGGGAGAGGGACTGGGGACTGAAGAGGGAGAGGTACTGGGAGGGAGAGAGGACAAGGGATGGAGGGACAGCACAAGGGGGAATGGCTCCCCACTGCCAGAGGGCAGGGCTGGATGGGATATTGGGAATGAGGATTTGTTCCCTGTGAGGGTGGGCAGGCCCTGGCACAGGGTGCCCAGAGCAGCTGGGGCTGCCCCTGGATCCCTGGCAGTGCCCAAGGCCAGGCTGGGCAGGGCTGGGAGCAGCCTGGGACAGTGGGAGGTGTCCTGGACATGGCAGGGGGTGGGATGGGATGAGCTTTAAGGTCCCTTCCAACCCAACCCATTCCAGGATCAGTGATGAGTAACACTGGGGTTTGTGCATCAGTTACACCATGTTGAATTGTTGCACTGAACACAACTTGACTCTGCTCTCCTGGAGACTGGAGCACTGTGCAAGCCCAGTGATGTATCCAAAGCAGAGGCTGGGATCAGGATTGCCTTGTGGCTTCCTAGGAAGAGTGAGACATGGTTTGACAGAGTGCAAATGAGAGCTTGGGTTGTCTGCCTGTCTTGGTCTGGGAAGGCTGCCTTAATTCTTTTAACCTTTCAGAGAGTCATTAACATCTAATCACCAGCTCTGGTTGCCCAACCTTAACTTCACACTGAGTGTTTTTGCATGGATGTTGGATGCTGGCCTGCCTGCACCAGGGCAAAGGCAAGAGGAGACATTCCCATGTGTTTTGCAGGGTGCTGAAGTTTTGGCCTTTGTCTTTCTTGTGGAGCAAACTCTCAACCTGTGAGCAGCTGGGACACCGCCTGCAGCACCTCCAGGTCATCAGCAGCAACAAGAAGGCTCAAAACCAAAATCAGCTGATGAGGTATGGAGTACATGTAAAGTTAGATGTGTCTTGGCTCTATCCCTATCTCCTGTGGGGAACCCAAACCATGTATCCCATGCCTGGACAGTACTAGGCCCTCACTGCACCCTATCATGTTCCTCTATTCCCTGCTAGTTTGCATATCTTTACTCTACACTCTATTCATATGCATATATATTTATATTTTTATGTGTTAATCATGTCTTTTGCCAGATACCTGCCTTTTTCCCTAGCTCAGGAAAGGCAGCTGGGATATTGCACCCCAAAAGCTTGTGCTGCACCCATGTGTGAGTGCTTTGCTGTCTACTCCCACAGGCTCATTGCTTTCACATGTGCTGCTGTCAACCACAGCCGTCCATCAGTGTTCAGTGGCATTTTCCATAAGAGCAGAAAGGTTTAAATGCTCCCCTCTTTCACCCACTCTTTTGGGAAAGCTTCTTGTGCAGAAACTGCAGACCAGAGACTCCACTTACACTGTTAGAACAGTAACAAAGTGTAAGGGAAAAAGCAAACATGCAGCACAGTGAGAGGAGCAGAGCAGAGATCTGAGACAGATATTGGATGCCCTACAGCTCTTCCACAGCCAGTCTTGTTCTGTGTGATTCTCTGATCCTGCAGTAATAGACTCCCAGGGAACACTTAAAATAGATTAACAGATTTGAAGGCCAAAAGTAACTGTGATTGTTCTGTCTGATTCCTGAGTAACTCACGTCATGGAATTCCATTCAGAAACTCTAGTGAGGAAGGGGCAGCCCAGCAGCCTTTCTGGGTTTGTGCATGAGCCCAAACCCGCTATTTATTGCCTTGTCTGGGAAAGCCATCTGATCTCAGTGTGGATGTGCCAAGTGCTGCTGCCCTTGGTACAGGTAATTGGTAAATCCCCCCTGAGTGTGTATATACCTTTCTGTCTAACATTCCTCTTTGTAGCTTCAATCCCATCTTTGCTCCCTACTAAGAAAGGTTTTGTGGTGTGGCAGGCTGTGAATGGCTCTGAGTTTAGAATCATGGAATCACAGAATATCCTGAGTGGGAAGGGACCCTCAGGGATCATCCAGCCCCTGGCCCTGCACAGACACCCCAACAATCCCACCATGTGCATCCCTGTCCAAGCTCTCCTGGAGCTCTGGCAGCCTCGGGGCTGTGCCCATTCCCTGGGGAGCCTGGGCAGTGCCAGCACCCTCTGGGGGAAGAACCTTTTCCTGATCTCCAACCTAAACCTGCCCTGGCACAGCTCCAGCTGTTCCTTTGGGTCCTGTCACAGTTTGGAGCTGCTACTCAGGAGAGAGCTGTAAACAGCTGGGAGATCTCACCCCAGTCTTCCCTTCTCCAGGCTGAACAAACCTCTCCTGTGCTTGGCTACAGGAGCGCCAATGAAAGTGAAAAGATTCCAAAATTGTTCCTCTTCAGTGAGTTGTTCTTGTGTCCCTGGGACATTAAAGGTGCTACATAAGCAAAGCCAACAACTGTCATTGAAACATTAAACACTGTCCTTCCTTTAACTCTGTTTCTCTCTGCCCTGCCTGCAGGAAAGCCAACATCTTTGTGTCTCTGCTGATTGATGTGGCCCTGGGGATACTGCTGATGTCGTGGCTGTACAGGAAGAACCGCATTGGTCACCTTGCTGACACCCTCATCCCTGTGGCTGACGTAAGTCTGGCCAAATCTGATCCCCTTTCACCTGCTCTGGGTTGGTTGGTAAGGAGGCAATGCCTCTCACACAAGCTTTCAGAGAGACCTGTCTGAAGTCATGCAAATTAGGTCTCCTCAAGAACAGTGAAATCTTCAAATCAGGCCTGTTGGGGCTGCTCGAAAGAAACTCAGCTCTGCTTTGCATGTGCTGTGAATAGTAATTAGATGTTTATGGGAGGGCTCCTCAAACTTCTAAAGGAACAATTATGGCTTGGAAAGAGCTCTGCAGCTGCAGGTTGGGTGGTTATGGAGCCATAGTCTTTTATTTTATTTTATTTTTTTCTGGAGTCGACAGAAAGTGTCCTCAGGTTGTTGCTATATGGGGTGTTTGGGGTGAAAAAAAAGCTGTAACCTGGGTTGAGTCTGATAAACTGCTGGAAAGTCAAATATGATAAGTAGTGCAGCTGTGCTTGTGGAAGGAGTTTCATGGGGAAGTCCAAAGGCTTTGCTGGTCAGGGTACAAACACCTGAAATCCTGCCTAAGAGCTCTGGGATATGGCCAGACTAGGAAAACCTGCTGTGTGCTGTGATTTTCTTCAACGTAACTCCTCTTGCCCACTGAAATCCCCCAACATCAGCAGAAATTCACAGATAGCTGGTGTGACCCACACTGTCCTGCTCTTCTGGTGGTTCACTTTGGATGCAGAGCTCCAGTATATCTGTTTAGGAACATATAATGTACTTCAGAGGCTGGAGACCAGACCACTAATCTGAGGTCAGCTCTCTTTTAAGAGCTTCTGTGTCTTGGGATTACATGTGCAGCCAATTTTGAGCCCTGCCATGCAGCTGCACAGCCTAATCCTTTCTCTGCCCACTTTTCTTTCATTTGTACATGACTCTTTCCATTGGGTTCTTACTAGCAGCTGGAAAATGTCTTCTCTCTGCTCTTTCTCCAGCTTCTTGGTTGAGAAGAATTTGATTTTGATCAGAAAATTCCAGCAGTGGTTTATTTTTCCTACTTATGCTGCATTTCCTGGGAAGACCTCACATTTCCTTTGACGACAATCTTTTTGGTCCATGTTGAGCTCCTTAATTATTGCAAGGTCTCTGATCATTCTTGTACTTGCTGGACTTGCAGAAAGCATGCATGGATTGTGCAGCATAGCTGTGGATCATGACTATTGCTGGTTTTCTTATCTTTCATAGTCAGACTTTCAAGGACAGCATGTGTGCTGTAGGCAGTACTCAGTAGTGGTGGTGGGTAGGGAGAAGCACATTTGTTGCAGGGCACTTGGTCTTGTGTTTGAGCTGTACACTGCAAATATTCTTCTAAGCCTTATTCTTACATCTTTTCCCTTACAGTTATTTCAGCTGGAGAAGTTTAAGTTCTCTAGAGCTTTTCCTTTGGGATTACTGGAAGCGCCCAGCTCTCAGAAATCTGATTTCTTAACAAGTCTGCAGGGAAGTGGCTTTGGCTGCATTCCTGGTTGCACAGGCGGCTCTGGGAGGGATTCCATCTGCCCAGTGTCTTTGCCAGATGGACACTCTCCGTGCCCAAGGTGTGTCCAACCCCAGCACCTGTCCTGGACAGGCTTTCTTGTGAGAGTTGCTTGTTTGTTCCTCTTTCAGTAATTTAGCTCATCTGTCACTCAACTTTTGCCTGATAGTGACAGCTGTCTTCAGCAAGTCTCCTCCTCCGTGTGTGGACTCTGGCACCAGGCTATCACCAGGAGCTGTTTGCTTTCATTCCTGGAAGTGCTGACTCCTCCATGGCTGGGGGGGCTGATAGCCAGCCAGTGCCTTTCTTCCCTGTTTTTCCTGGCTTATCAGTTCAGGCCATTCACAACTCTCCTTTTTTCCAGCCTTAGTTTCTTCTTTCAGGCATATGAGATTGTGGACATAAAATCGTTTGGAGTCTTTTTACTCCCTTTGCTGGGCATTGATTTATATACATTATATGCAGGCCTTAAAAAATGCAGATCTGAGTGATCCCAAAATATACCAATGACTTCAGCATGTGGTGTGCAAGCCAGCACCACTTCTTTTCCAGTATGACAGCAAAATCTTCCCTCAGCCATTCAGCAGTGGGTTTCCTCTCTGCTGCTGAGTGTCCATCTGGTCTGCATTATTCCCATCACTGGGCTTTCTCAAGTGCTTGTGTGTTGCCAAGTTCAGTAACTCAGCATTCCCTGTGTGCAGAGAGCCCCTGTTCCTTCCCTAACACCCTTCTGCTGTGAGCTGTGCCCAGATATGCTGATAGCATTGACCCTACACTTCTGTTTCTGTTGGTAAATACAACATTGGGTATCTCATTTGCCCAGAGGGTGCTGGCACTGCCCAGGCTCCCCAGGGAATGGGCACAGCCCCGGGGCTGCCAGAGCTCCAGGAGAGCTTGGACAGCGCTGCCAGGGATGGACAGGGTGGGATTGTTGGGGTGTCTGTGCAGGACCAGGAGCTGAATCCCTGATAGGTCCCTTCACACTCAGGATATTCTGTGTTGCTGTTATAATAAGATTGTTATGCATAATAAGGCTATATACATAACTATGTATATATAACTATATATATATAACTATACATAACTATAAGATTGTCTATATAAGTCTATATACATAACCTCACTTTAACCTTATTGATTTTAATATTGACAGAGTACCCTTATATAACACATAACCATACTGGTTTGATTGATTGATTTTAACATTGACAAAATCCCAGCTGTGTGGGCTCTGGGTACAGTGCTTGGGTTTTTTCCAGCCAACATTTCTCTGGAAGGAAGCAGTGCAGGTGGGTGATTTTGAGTCTCAGCACTGCCAGGGTCACAAGCTCAGCCTGCTGCCAGGAGTTCAAGCTGTGTTCCCTGGCCATCCCTTGTTATCCTCTGATAAAATGGATCTCAAATCAGCACTTGGGTGGCAATTGTTGATGCTGCACAAGACATCTCTGAGTGCAGCTCCCACTTTTCCAGCGTGGTGAGCTGTACTGTGCTGGCTGTAATAACAAGCTGCTTTTGTCACTCAGTGAGGCAGATGTGATTCAGAGACACCCAGGGAGTAACTGGCAAGGAGCTGTTAGGAAAGACTGATTTTTGAAGCAGGCTTTCAAATCCAAAAATGGAAAACTTGAATAATCTTCTCTCTGTAGGTGCCCTCACAACTCCTACCTTCCTCCTACTCTTGATCCCACCAGGCTTCCCAATAGTTGTCCTTGCTTTTGCCTTCCACAAGACAGCCTTCTTTCAGAAATACCTGACTCAAAGATTTGCACTGGTTTTAAACAGAACTGCTCATAAACCATCTCCTTTTTTTTTCCTCTTTATCTCTTTTATCCTTGCTGATGTCTCTTTTTCCTAAGTTGCAATCTGTTTGAAACAGTTACATATTTATCATAGATTGTGCCTGCAGAAGCTTTTCTGGGGCTTGGAGATAATTGGATGTATGCTCCTAGTCAGTCTTGTTCCACTGATCCATAAACAAAGCCAGCAGAGAGAGTGCTTCCTGAAAAATATTTTTAGATGTTAATTTATAAAATAGTGTGTCTTAGAGCCCTAACCACCTGCCACAGACACAGGGCAGGTGTGTCTGACAGGGACAGCTTTGCCTCTGCATGCTCTGACTTGCACCAGATGGAACCTTTAAAGCTGGAAGAGATCTTTAGGGTCACCAAGTCCAACCATCAGCCCAGCACCCCTATGTTCACCCTAACCCCTGGCCACAAGGGCCCCCAGGGATGGGGACTCCACCACTGCCCCAGGCAGCTCTGTCACTGCCTGACCACCCTTTCAGTGAAGAAATTGTCTCAATATCCAATGTAAACCTCTCCTGGCACAACTTAAAGCCATTTCCCCTTGTTCTGTTCCCTGGGAGCAGAGCCCGACCCCCCGGCTGTCCCCTCTGTCAGGAACAGATCCAGAAGGTCCCTCCTGAGCCTCCTTTTCTCCAGGCTGAGCCCCTTCCCAGGTCCCTCAGCCCCTCCTGGTGCTCCTGACCCTTCCCCAGCTCTGTTCCCTGGAGCATCACAGTGCCCTGTGTGTCCTTCTCCAGCCATGTCACATCAGCATTTACCTCTGCACATGGAAACTAGGAAGAAGAGCATGACAGGAAAGAGAATATTTCCACAGTGAGCTCATCCAACCCTGGTTAGCACCAGTCTCTCTCCAGTTTGGTCATATCCCAGTACCCTGTTATGAAACACTTCCAAACCACTGTATCTGATTTATTAATATGCCCACATTCAGTATTCATGACTGCAGGGGGAGAATCGGACTCACCGTCACCTTTCCTCATTCTGCTTGCTATTGATCAGTCCTAAAATATCTGTCTGGAAAACAACCTGCAAGGTTATGCTCCAGGACTCTTGTTTTGCCCAGCTCAATACCAGCAATGTAGGGCACCTTCCCAGGGCTACGTGCCCCTGCCAGGCTTTAGCAGCACCTCTGGGACTGGCAGCCTCCAGAAATACTCCCTGCTAAAACTCAGCCTTGCTGAAGGACTGCTTTCAAGCATTTAAATATTTCATTAAAATCCCCAAATGCTTTTTCTAAGTTACCAATCCAACACTTTAAATATTAAAACCAGTCTATTTATAAAGCAGCAAACGCTTCTCAGCCACAGAGGTGAGCTCCATGGGATCCAATCAGTCCTGACTTGCAGTGAGACAGATGGAAAAGGAAGGGAATAGAAAGGAAAGCCTTTTGGAGAAGTTGAAAATGAAGCCATTAATTTTGCTACTGCATTAAAAGTAAATGTTTACAAACTCATTTTGCCAGCATCTATTGGTTAATAAAGAAAATGGAACCATTCCTTGGAAATATTTTTTTCCACAGGGAAGTTATACACGTGAATGATAAGGAAAGTAGGCTACAGTGCATCACTTTAGGGAGTGTGGCTTGGTGGTTCTGCACGTGGGCAGTTCTCAGTGCCCTTCACTGTGTGGGCTGTTAGTGGGATTTTTGGAGAAAGGGGGCTTTTCCTCACAATCTCTGTCCATGTGGGACAGTGTAAGGGGTCACTTCTTCCAGATATTTTCCCCACCTGTTTGCTGAAGGTTGTCAGCTCCCTCAGCTCACAGCTTGGTAACTGGTGCTCAGCAATGGTTTCAGCTCAGGGGAGCAGGGCAGGTGTGAAGTTGTTCTGAGGAGAAAAATCACCCAACTGCAAGGGGAGTGTGGAGTAGTGGAGTGGAGAGATAAAACCAATAAATAACACCAGCCTGGGCTGAAATCACCAGAAAAAGTGAATAACAGCCCTCAGTGAAGAGTCTGGAGCACACATTTGAGGTAGGGAAGAACAGGCCCAGAGCTGGGGTTTGGTTTTTTCTGCAGCAGTGATGTGACAGCACATGGACCTGGAGCAGGTCCAGGGAAGGGAACAAAGCTGGGAAGGGATTGGAGCACCAGGAGAGGCTGGGAAGGGGCTCAGCCTTGAGAAAAGGAGGCTCAGGGGGGATCTTCTGGCTCTGCACAGCTCCTGACATGAGAGGGCAGCCAGGGAACAAGGGACATGAGGAAACAGCTTCAAGGTGCATCAGGGAAGGTTTAAGTTGGATATTGGGAGAATTCCTTCATGAAGAGGGTGGTCAGGCACTGTCACAGGCTGCCCAGGATGTGGTGGAGTCACTGGAAGTGTTCAAAAGCCATGTGGGTGTGGCACTTGGGGATGTGAATTAGTGCTGCACCTGGCAGTTCATAGGACTTGATGTTAGGGGGTTTTTCCAACCACAATGATTTTCTGATTCAGTGATGTGGGGAGCACCTCCATTCATGTTTTCCCTCAGTGATTCCAAGGCTGCTTTGTTGCTGGGCTGCCATGAGTACCCATGAAGCCTGCAGACAATGGTAGGCAAGATCAGGGATATTGTCTAGGACACCACCAAGTATCAAGAGAGTGTGTGCATGAAACGCATTTATGTAATTGTGTTTTCTACCCTGCTCTAAACAAACATAGATTGTTTATAAAAATTAACTCTCTTTTGCCCGTTAGTGTACTGCCACCTTCCCCCCTTTTAAAATCATAACAGAGCCTGCTCCAAACTCAGCTCTGACTTTTCACCTGACTGTCCCCAGAAGTGGATTTGTGCACCAGCATTTGTCATCCATGTCCAGAACCCTCATTACCCCAAGAAATCCCACTGTGCAAGCGTTCCAGAGGTGGCCAGAGGTGACACAGTTCCATGGTCCCAGCACAGAGACCACTGAAGCAATTGAGGTTCCTCTCAGCTTTGTGTTTGATTCAGTAAGGAGTTAATAAAAGTGCATTTTTGATTTAGGTAGCTGTCTGTAAAGCAGCTGTTTGGATTTTTTCACATTGGTTTGAAGGTAGTGGTGGAATACTTGAGGGGGCAGCAGTTAGAGTGCACTGGCCCTGTTCAGTGTGATTGCAGTCTGTTCTCTCCATGGCCTGGCTTGCTTGTGCTTGCAGCACGTGGCTGAAGAGCTGCAGGACCTGCTCCAGTGGCTGATGGGAGCCCCAGCTGGACTGAAAATGAACCGAGCCTTGGATCAAGTCTTGGGCCGCTTCTTCCTTTATCACATCCATCTGTGGATCAGTAAGTGAAATTGTTGAACTTTCCAGCCTCCCTTTTCATCTCTTGCCTCTGAGTGTTTAATGTTTGCCTAGAGGTGAGTAATGAATCAAAATGCACTTCTGCAAGTACAGACTTGTCTGGGAGTCTTCCTGCTGTGGGAACTGAAGCCAAAGTTGGATTCCCACACAAGGAATTCATGCATATTAAATAAAGTGCTGGTATTGATGCTCTGCAAGAAGTGTGGATGCTGCTGGGGCTTAGTTCCTTGGTGTCACTGGTGGTGAGTGTCCAGGGGAAGGCACTGCTGTGAGGGTTTTGTGCTCTTTGCCATGTGAGAGGCAGCTCTTGGGATAGGATGAGAAATGTGCAAGCCTGCAAATGCCAGCCCTGTGCTATCTCAAACTTCAGCTTAGTGCAATTTTATTATTTCAGTTTCTTCCTTGAAAAAAACCACTCTTGTTATCCTTGATGGAGGAGTACAGGCATGATGGACATGAACTCCACAGTTATTTTACTGATTTGCTTTGCTCACCAGTCAAGTATGGTCTTGTTTCTGTGACTTTGCTTCACTTTGGTGATGAGACTGTTTGTCCATACTGCTTTATTTTACAAAAGCCATATGAGGTGGCTTTTGTGGGAAGAGCAGAAAAACAGGAAGGGTTGCAGTAAAGGTTGATGTGTGCAGTTAAAAATGTACTTAAGAACCTGGACACAAATGTAGGAAATCAAATGTTACATCCCAGATTGGGTAGGGATTGAAACAACCTGGTCTGGTGCAAGGTGTGCCTGCCCATGGCAGGGGGGTGACACTAAATTATCTTTAAGATAATTGCAACCCAAACCATGCCATGCTAATTCCATGAAATCCCATGTGGAGAAAGGTGACTGCTGTGTTCAAGCTGTGCACTCTCCTCCCCATCCTCCCAGTGGGCAGAAACTTGGGCAGGAGAGTTTTTGTTGGCCCTCCTAAAGAGAAGATGGCATCTAAAGGAGTTTTCCAGCTGCCCTTCCGTGGTGTCATGGCTCTGATTTCTGGAGCAGCGTTCTAGGGCGAGGGGAATCAGCCTTCTGAGAGGGCCAGGAGGGAGATGACCCAGTCAAACACTGACTCTGTGCCATGTCCACCAGGCTACATCCACCTGCTGTCCCCATTCATTGAGATGATCCTGTGGTACGTGGGGCTGTCGGCCTGCCTGGGGCTGACCGTGGCTCTCTGCATCCTGTCCGACATCATCGCGCTCCTCACCTTCCACATCTACTGCTTCTACGTCTACGGGGCCAGGTGAGTCCCCTCCCTCTCTGGGCTGTGTTTGGAAAGCCCTCAGGCTGTGTGGAGCATTCAGTCCTGGTGTAGTTCTCCTGAATTCACTTTTTAACCCACAGTAATTTCTTGCAGTCTTTTTTAAGCCTGTAGAAGTGATGGACACAGCAGTGCAAGCAAGCCATGTTTCATTTCTCCTCCATTTAGATATTTATCTGTTGTGGTAGTGACCTGGAAAAATGAAACTGCATGACAGGCAGAGGACAAGAAAGCAGCTCGCCCCATCCCTTTGAGCCAGCTCATAGTGCTCTCCTCCATTGCACCCTGCTAGAGATTTGGAGGGGAACTGGAGAGGAGGAGGAGGAGAGGGGAACCCCTGCAGTTTAGGAGAACCCCCAGAATCCCTGTCTGCCCTGCTTCAGAGGTCCTTGCCTGCACTGTGGGGCACAGGTGGCAGGTTTGGGGTTACAGGGGGTCTGTGACACTATCCTGGTGTCACTGTCTGGAGGGTCCTGTGGCCTGAGAGCTGGGCAGAGACTCTGAATGAGCAGGGGGAGTGCAAGGGGCTTTGGGGCACATCTAGGGCTTCCTGTGCAAGAGGTGCCCATCACTGTGCTCTGTTCCTGCTCTCCTCTTACTTGTGCTGCACCAAGGAGTCCCACAGGCCACAGGAGATGGGATAGAAGAGATAAAGGACTTTTTGCCTTATTAACTACAGAATGGCCATTTTCCCTCCTCAGACTTTACATAGGAAACAAGGACAAGAAATATTAAATCTTTAGATATGGGTGGTTTAGGGAATGGTTGGAAATATTGAGACCTGATTTATGAACCAGGTCTGTTGTGAGCATAGGTCATACACCCAGAATCAGTAATGTCAGGAGTAGGAGGTCTCTTCCCAACACCTCTAATCACTGGAATTTCTGTGTGGGTCAGGGAGGAATGGCCTTGCTCATCCTGGTTGTCCAGAGTGGTAGTAGGAAGCAGGAAAAGAAGCATTTTGTCAGCTGATTGCTCTTCCCTGGAGTTGCAGGGAGCCAGCCTACCTGTCTTGTGTTTGTCAGAAGTACAGAGTGTACAGCTGTGTGCTGTCCCTATGGAGAGTCAGGAAGAGTCAGCAGTCACCCACAGCCAGCACAGCCCCTTCAATTCCTGCAGCTGGCAGGAGGAAGGATTTGCTGGTTCAGGTGCTGGTGATGCCTGAGATCCCCTGTGGAGCAAACACAGAGTGAAACGAGGGCAGGCAGAGGGCAGGTGGGGCAGGTGCCTCTGCAGCAGCACCCGCTGGGTGTCATGTCAGGGGTGCAGGGAGAGCCTGGCCTTAGTCAGAGCCATGGGCAGGTGTGTGCCAGAGCCTGGAGGAGCTGTCCTGGGCTCCCTCCTGCCTGGGGATTAGTGCACCAAGCTGTGCCTGCCCATCTGGAGGCACCCTGCCAATTCCTTGAAGCAGTTGGTGTTCCTCAAACCAGATTCTTCTCTTGGATGAGACTCCTTACCTCTGCTTTCACATTGCTGCTATGGAATCTGAGCAGCCTCCACACCTTAGCTAGCCTGGTTTGCCAGTCTGGCTTTTGCAGCTCAGGCTTTCTCAGACTCTGTTCTGCCCCACACATTGTCTGTGTACCCTTTATGTCCCTGTGTGTTGGCACTGCTGCCCACGGCACTTTGTGCCTCCTCTCCATCCCAAGGGCTCTTTCTTCCTTGCTGTTATTCCATAAAGAGGTGTCTGTTTCCCACCCTTTGTCACCCCAAGTGTCCCTCACTGTTGTCATTTTCTGCAAAGGAAGTAGCTCCAAGTCTCATAGCACCAAATTCTGAAAGCCCAAGGAAGGGATGCAGGAGGGGCCACCAGGCATTTCACTGGTCTCTTCCCACTCTTAAGGATTTTTAGAGCTGTGAGCTACTGGGGAAGCTTCAGGGGCTCCACTCCTTTCCCTTGTATCTCTGCTACAGAGGCACAATTGCATTGCATTGACTCAGGTGTGGGGGTAACACCTTGGCCAGCCCTGTCTGGAAGGGTCTGAAGGCAGGGGAAGGGACAGATCTGAACTGGGGAGACACAGGTGACCTTGGGGAAATAGACCTGCTGGTTCTTCTCATAGAATCATGGAATGGTTTGGGTGGGAAGGAGCCTTAAAGCTCATCTTCTGCTGTGGCAGGGACACCTTCCACTACCCCAGGTTGCTCCAAGTCCCATCCATCCTGGTCTTGGCCACTTCTGGGGGTCCAGGGGCAGCCACAGCTTCTGTGGGCACCCTGTGCCAGGGCCTCAGCACCCTTTTGCTGCAGGGAAAGTGTTGCCATGAGGCTGGTGGTTGCTGCAGCTCCATGGCCTGGACATTGGGCCCTGCAGTGGCCCAGAGCTGGCTGCAGCAGCCCCGTGCCAGGGAGCAGCCCAGACAGGCTTGAGGGTTTATCTGCAGCATTCCCAGAGTATTCCTTCTGCCCCCCCTGGCTCTGCAGGTGGGTGAGTGGGCGTGGGGCTGTGCTGGTGACAGCTGGGTGCTGCTGGAGCTGGGAGCTGCCAGCTGTGCTGCAGAGTCTTCTCTTTGCTCAGGCTCTACTGCCTGAAGATCTACGGCCTGTCCTCTCTGTGGCGCCTGTTCCGGGGCAAGAAGTGGAACGTGCTGCGGCAGCGGGTGGATTCCTGCTCCTACGACCTGGACCAGGTAGTGCCACAGCCCTGGGGACACCCCAGGGCACTGCCCTCGGTGATGCCCTCCCTCCTGCTCTGACTGATACTGGGACACAGACACAGGAGCCTTTGTGGTGCCCAGAACAAGGACATATCCCAGCGCTCTGAGCCCACGGCTCTTCTGCTGCCTTACAGCACTCCTTGACTGCCTGCAGCACCCCTTCATTGCCATGGACTCCTTCCCTGCCCTCCAACACCACCTTCCTAAAACCTTCAGATTTTTATGGATTCCCACACCCTTCCCTATACCACTTCCATTCCCTGCACCCCTCCCCTTCCCTGCAGTGCCTCTTCCCTGCCCTGTACTCCTTCCTTGCACCCCTTCCCTACCCTGCACTCTATCCCTGCTCTCCAGCATCCCATCCCATCCCACCCCATCCCATCCCATCCCATCCCATCCCATCCCATCCCGTCCCGTCCTGTCCCGTCCCGTCCCATTCCATCCCATCCCATCCCATCCCATCCCACCCATCCCATCCATCCCATCCCATCCCATCCCACCCCACCCCATCCCATCCCATCGCATCCCGTCCCACCCGATCCCACCCCATCCCACCCAATCCCACCCAATCCCACCCCATCCCATCCCATCCCATCCATCCCATCCCATCCCACCCCATCCCACCCAATCCCACCCCATCCCATCCCATCCCATCCCATCCCACCCCATCCCACCCCATCCCATCCCCACCCTGCAGGCCGAGCTGTGCTGGGCGCTGCCGATGCCGGAGCTCTGAGCCTGGTGTGGCAGTGGGGGAGGGCTGAGGCAGTGGGAGATGTGGTGCCCAGCAGTGTTGCCACAGTAACAGCCGTGGCAGCGTTTCTATTAAAAGGCCCCGTTTCATTCACGTTGTGCTGGAGCCTGGCCCACACACTCTGGCTCAGGCAGAGGCAGTTCTTTGTGAAGTGCTGTAAGCTCTTTTTAATTTCTGAAATGCCATGCAAAAGTCCAACAGAGCCTGAACTGCTGCAGGCCAGCAGCTGCAAACATCACTGAAATAATACAATAATATTTGGAAACTTGCGGGGTCAGCTCCTCTTTCTATTACAACAGATAACCTTGAGCTTCTTGCACCACAGCTGAGAGCTGGTTTTCTGTTTCTTTGGTGATTAAAAGCCTCCGTGCCAGGTTTGCATCATCTCCTCCCTGAGTACTTTGAGGAGAATTGGTTTGGCACTTGAGGCTTCATCCTGCTGCTCTGGAGACCAGAGGGAATTGTGTTGCTGGCCGGGTAGGAAGAGACATTCAAAGCAGACCTAAAAGACTCTTGGAGGTTTAAACAACTGCAGTGGAGTGATAGGAGAAAGGGGAAACAACTGCTGTGAGGAGAATGGATTGGGTTGTGATTTATTCCTGGTTACATCCCTAAAGCTGTGATGCTGATCCACCTCTGTGCTGTGGCTGCTGGGTTGTTTTCTTTCATGACATCCCGCAGCCGTGGTCCCTTTTTGCAGAGGTTGCAGTGCCCTGTGCTCCTGTGGCCTCTCTGATCTGGAAGTGGTGACTGGAAATAGAAGAGTCAGGTTCCTGTTTGGTACAAATCTGAATTCTCCCACTTGGAATTATTTAGACCTACGCCAACCTACGCTGGCCCAGAATAAAAATAACTTTTTCTGTGGGCAGTGGAGCTAATGACACCTCCTTCCTTAGGGATTTTTCTCCTGCATCCTCTAAATATTGCTCCCTGACTCCAGCTTCTCTCCCACCTTCCCAGTGAGCAAGAAACAGAATTCCTGTGGCTGGAAGCTCAGCCAGTTGCTGCTGGGAATGTTTATCACAAATAATTCTGTCAGGTTTGCACCAGGTGCCTGCACTGCTAAAAGAAGGAGGAACAAAAGTACTTCTCAGTTCTTTCCAGAATTCCCAAACAAATTACCACTTCTTTGTTATTTTCCACATTTCTCTGATAAAATCTGGTCAGTGGCTCTAAAACTTTTGGGGACAGAGAGTGGAAAAAATGCAAGATCACTTAAGTCTAGTTTCCTAAGGAAGCTGGCCTGAAATGGGAAATCTTGAATGTTGTCTGTAAAGGAAAAGTGCTGTCAGGATCCAACTTTTATCTTTCCAAATGTACTCCCATAATAAGAAGTGTTGAAGAAGGCCCAGTGAGAGGAGAAATACTGAAAATATTCAAGGTAACAGCATTATTCACATAGGCAAGATAAAAACACATTAAGGAGTCCTGCAAACTTCTATTGCTTCAGAGTCTCCTATTTTTTATTTGTAATGTATTTTATTTTACCATTGCTCTGCTCATGATTGTGTTTCCTTTTTCCCTAGTTATTTATTGGCACTTTGCTGTTCACAATCCTGCTGTTCCTTCTGCCTACGACTGCACTGTATTATTTGGTGTTTACCCTGGTAAGATTTAACCCTTGAAACAAGTCAAACACTCTCTTCTAAGGTAGTAAAAAATGGTTTCCTAGACATTTATGGTCATCCATAAAGAAAATAAAAATATGGTTGTCTTAGGAAGGATTCTCTCACATCAGCTCATGTTTGTATTTTTCCAAAGGAAATTCCCAGCAAATCCTGTCTGCAAGACAAACTGTTCTCTTTACTTTCTCTCAGAAGTTGATGTTTCTGTCCACATCTGTGGTGATGGCCTCTCTAGTCTGATCCAGAACTTTTTTTTCCAGGGAATTAACTTGCTGTATTAAATGTTTTCAGCCAAGCTTTCCTCAGAGGTTTGAAACTTCTTTATTTTTTTCCTTCCCCCAACATGACCAGTCCTCTCCACAGTCTGCCCAGAGCCAAATTTTCCACAGACAGTGGCCATCACATGCTTTCAGCATCTTTTTTGAGCCCTCTCTTTTCAGATGAGCTTGGCAGCAGAAAATAACTGCATTGTGACAAAAGGAGGTGCTTTATGCAGGGACAGAAAACACAGAGCAGGAAGCTCATTTCTGCCTTGCTTAAGCTCTACGTGGGGTTTCTCCAGGCTGAAATAAGCAGTTGCAGCTCACTGTTGGAGAGAGGAAAATTTACATTCACTGGTACACAGTGATGGAATTGACTCAAAGTGGGAGAATTTGGGCTTCCTTTCCAGCTGTGGCTGTTGAAAGTGGAATAGTTCTCATGTCCTTGGTGGTCACAGCTTCTCCAGCTGTAGGAGCTTCGTTCCAGTTACCCCTTAAACCCAGACTGGTGAGGACCCTCACACAGGGTCTGGATGCTCAGCACTTCCAGACACCACACCCACTTTGGGAGGCCTTAGCTTAGCACACAGCAGTGTTAGATCCAAGCTCAGCTCAGGAATTTACAAGTGTTTAATCTCCTGTTTCCTGAGATGTTCTGTCAAACTGGTTTTTGCAGCTCCGCTTGCTGGTGGTGATTGTGCAGGGCCTCATACACTTGCTGGTGGACCTGATTGACTCCCTGCCTCTTTATTCCCTCATCCTTCGCCTCTGCAGATCCTACAGGCTCGCAGGTGAGTCCCTCAGCTCTGCCCCTGCAGCACTTCAAGCGTTTTGCATTATGTGCTTGATTTTGGTGCACTGGGTCACTCCTGGATTGAGGATGCAGTGGGGGTAGGGAAGAACCAAACGCTTGAGTTGTGCAGATGTCCCTGCTGTGAACCAGTTCCTGCAAGGAGCAGGATGAGGGTGTCAATGGAAAGAAATCTGAACCTGAAGCAGAATCTGGAGCACCTTTAGAAAGTCCTTGGCCACTAAAAATTGCATCCAAACAAGCACCATATAAACAAGGTCATCTTTTATTGCAGTTCCAGACTACCAGGGCAGGTAAAACTTTTGTGAGTCAAACATGGCATGGAGCTGTGCCAGGGCAGGTTTAGGTTGGATATCAGGAAAGGCTCTTTCCCCAGAGGGTGCTGGCACTGCCCAGGCTCCCCAGGGAATGGGCACAGCCCCGGGGCTGCCAGAGCTCCAGGAGAGCTTGGCCAGCGCTGCCAGGGATGCCCAGGGTGGGATTGTTGGGGGGTCTGTGCAGGGCCAGGGGCTGGGCTGGATGATCCTTGTCCCTTCCAAATCAGGATATTCCATGGTTCTGTAAAACAAGCTCATAACTTTGGGTGTTTGGCCTCTGAAACAAGCCAGATCACAAAAATACTTGGAATATCAGCTGTTCCAAAGGGTTGGATCTGCAGTGGTTGCAAATCAATGGAGCTCTTTCAGTTCTATGCTGACTTTGACTGGCTGAAGCCCTGATGTTTGGATGAATTTCAAAGCTCTGGGCAGAGTTCAGATAATCATTCCCTTTTTGAGACTAATCTGTCACCATTTTGAAACCAGTCATTGTTTTTTCACTTTGGATAACCATAAACCAGGGCTGGCACCAGAGTAAGGACTCATTTTGGAATGCCTTTGACTGTCCACAGCTATGGTTGATCTAGTTACAGTCAAGCACATCTAAATTATTATCTCCCATCCTTTTAAAGAGCATGCAGCAGGAATTTAGCATAGAAGAAAGAGCTTGATCATCAGTAAACCAAGGCCAGTCATCAAAGGCAGAGGAAGCTCGAGGCAACCTCAGCAGCTTTGTCTGCTGGAGCACTGCCAGGCTCAGCCTTGGGAAGGTAGAGCTGAGCTCTGTTACCAACTCTGGTGCTTTTCCATGGGAGCCTTCAGCAGGTTCCTGTGAATTTCCTGGCAGAAGCCTCTTAAACCCTTCAGGGCTGTCTTTGGGGAACAGGAGATGCTGCTGAAGAAACCTGACCCAGTAATGGGCAGGATGAAGGGCAGGAGGAAATCCTGGTGCCACTGAGAGGTTTCACACCGTGAATTCCTTTAGGTTATGTAAGGCCACAGGTTACTTCTCCTCATTCCTGTTCAGCCAGGTCTCTGCTGCTGGAAGCAAGCCTCCACCTGAGCAGGGATTGACTTCTCAGCTGTGTTCCTTAACTGGCACTGCTGCCTGTGAGAGGAAGAGGCATCTCTGAGCAGTTCTGCAGCCTGTGTCCCTGCCCCAGCACAAAACTGTGGCATGGCAACAGGAACAGATGGAGTAGTTGAATCCAACTGAAAGGACTTGAGAGAGTACACATCACATGGTGTGCTCACTGCTGAGGTGCTGCCTCCCTTGTCAGACTCAGAACTTGGAGAAGACATCCTTTGGCAGGTGTTAGGGCAGCTGATTTTACAGGCACCATCAAGATGGTTCTACCAACATGAATGGATAGTTTTTGCTGGTGGAAAGGGGGTTGAGTTCATTGTGGCATGTGGCCTCCAAGTTCTTTGATTCAGTGTCTGAACTGACAAAATACTTCACTGATGAAGGCCAGGCCAGGGGTAGGTGAATGATCCATCCACACACAGAAACTAAATGCATTCTTTTCTTTCTGTGCATCCAAAGTGAAATATTTATGACTTCCAAAAGCCTTTCTTATCTAGATCACAGATGATGTCCTCTGTGCACCCAGTGCCAGCTCAAGGGGTGCCAGCTTGGTTGGGATGTGGATTCACAGCATGAAGAAAGGAACAGCAGGGGTTTCAGGGCTCTCAGAGTGCCCACACACAGGTTACCAGCATTGTTTGATTGTGAACAGGCCAGCTTGTTTTTCCTGTACTTCCCTTTCCCAACACTGGAATTGTTGGGACAGGTTTTGTCACAGTCCTGTAGGACCTGCCACAATTGCTGGAGTACAAACCCTCACTTGAGTGTGCTGCCATGTGAAACAAAGCAAATGAATCCATGTCCTGAGCTCTCCTGTGCCATTGCTGAGGCCTTTGTACAGGAAAAGCAGAGCCCTGAGCTCTGGAGCTGGCTGGAAGTCAGGGAATAGTTCAGGTTCTTCTGTGCTGGAGTGATCTGCAGGAGCCTGAGCCTTCCCCTTTTCCTGTGAGGAGGGAACTGCTCAGAGTCCTGAGCTCTGCAGTCACCTGCAGGTCATTCTAAAATGAATTTATAACCTTTTTGTGCTCGTGTTTTCTTACAAGTTTAAGACTCTTAAGCAATTAAATTATCTAATTAAGAAAGCGTTGGCTTGTATCTTGAGAAGGGAGCTGTGTGGCCAGGACCTAGAGAAGCAGCATTTGCTGGGATAATGGATTACTGTTCTGGGGTCAGACTCCAGAGTGCCTAAGCACATATCTGAACCTTCAGTGCCTGCTTGTTTCTGTCTCTCTCTGACAAAGTTTGCCAGAAAAGTAGTTCCTGGAATGGCTTAGACACTTCCTCATAGCCAAAGCTCTGTGAATCACATTGAGCACTTTGGTCATGTAGCACATTTGCTTGTTGAGGCCCAGGGTACTCAAACATCTATTTCAAGCCACTGGGGAAACCCCTCTATCAATATAATCCAGCAAAATGCAGATAAATCCCTCCTGTCCTGGACAGAAAAAGTTTTATGATTTGGGGAGAGAGTTTAAACCAGAGCTGTGTGCTAGAGAAAAGCATTCTATCCCAGGAGTGAACTGTATGATTTTAATTAATTCAAAGCTTTAGGAAAAAGAGAAAACATTTTGGTTTTTCAGTGTTCAAGAGTCATAGAGATACTGCAGCAATGGCACTTACACTTACAGTGGTGAGCAGTTATTCTGTTTGTGCTCCTGTCAGTGTTTGATCTGTGCCTTAGTCTTGGCTCATCTTTTTACCTGCAGGAAAGAATAACAGAGCATGCTTGGCTGGAACAGGTTTGCAGAGATGGATTGGTGATTTTATTTCTGTGAAGTTATTTGACATCTCTGTAAGAAAAATGCCTCTCTGGTCCAAGCTGTTACCTTTGAAACATTGTATTAAATCTGTGTGTGCGCTGTGTCACCCTTGGAATCCAAAACCTTTCCTATTTATCTTTACAGTATCGGCAATGAGGCAAATCCAAGAGAAAATAGGAAAGTGGCAGGTTGGATGGGGTTAGCCTCTTAAAAACATGTGGGTGCTGGGATTAATGGGCAGGGATTGCTTTGAAATGTTTCAGTGCCTCCAGGTCAGCCACTTCCCTCCCTCAGCCTGAACCAGGGACAGATTTGCACTGTCCACATGAGCACAAATTAAAGGTGGGCTCTCTACCTGCTGCTAACATGGAGTTCCCATTCTGATGGAGGTTTGGGGAAAGTGGAAGGTTTTTCCAGTCCCTCTGTCATCCTCAGGTCTGGCTGGCTCATTTCTAGGCTTTGTGCTTGCCCTAGGACTGAGTTTTCAAGCTGGAGGTGGGAGGGGTTACTTTTAATGGAGCTGTGACATTAGGCTTAAAGAATTGTAGAGACATCCATGCTTCCTATTGAAAATGGGGAATGTTCCCAAATCCAGGAAGGTTGAAGACAGTTTCTAGGGAATCATTGCTCAGCCCACAGCACTGGGCAGCAAATTCATGGTCTGTGCTCCAGGCATTGAACCATGGAATACCCTGAGTGGGAAAGGACCACAGGGATCCTTGAGTCCAACTCCTGGCCCTGCACAGGACACCCCAACAATCCCCCCATGGGTTTGCTTTCCTTGTTTTGTGTCTTTGCAGCTGGAGTGAAGTTCAGAGTCCTTGAGCAGCAGGATGGAAAACCTCTGCGTCTCCTGATGCAGGTAAGGGCCCTGTGCCTTCCCCCAGAGTGACCCCAGCCCCTCTGTGCTGCTGCCACTGAAAGGCTCCACTTCAACATTATCAGCTCGAAAATGCTGAAACAAGGGGAATAACCTCGTGTTGCTGTGGCTGGCTGCTGCTTTCCGTGCTTGTGTCCTGTTTGGAGGAAATGTGTGTCCTGGATGGTGTGAAGTGAAATGTAGAAAGAGAGAAGGAGAAACACAGAGCTGTATTACTGCTGGGACTAAGACCTCATGCCATTATCACCTCGTGGCTCTGTGCAGCTTCATGTCATAATTGCTGACACTGGGAGAAGCAAAAGAAGGCAGTTAACCCTCCAGAATGAAGCAGCAGGAAAAGCTCTTCCCCTCCAGTGGTGCTGGAAAGCTTTGGCTGCTCCATGAGGCAGCAGGATGAGAGCCTGGGCAAGATGAGAGAGGAAAGGGCTTCCTGCTTTTCTCCAGGGTTGCCCTGGTGAGGAGTATGGGCACAGCTCACCTGTGCTTTTGTAACCCCCCATTCCATGCTCTGGCATCAAAGATACTAAAGGAAATTATCTTCTGAAAGAAATGAGGTGTTGGCAGCAGGGAAGTTCTCCTTACACTTTCAGGAGTGAAATTTCCATCTCCTGACCCAGCAGGAACACAGCCATGTCCCAGAGAGGCTTTTTTTGCTCTCTGCATCCTAAAGAGGAGAGGCTGCCAGTAGTGTATAACACTTATAAAAGCACTTGGACACTGAGGGAGTGTGTGGGAAGGATTTAACTGCAGCTTCTCAGTCCTTTTGCTTTTTCCATCACTGTCCCACCCAATTTCAGCAAAGGTCAGGCTAGCAGGGAACCAGCAAACCAGCTAGTAGCAATTCCAGAAGGAATCCCTTCTACAGATGTCCTCTAGGGCAAAACCAACATTCTCTAAGCAAGCTGTCTTCCCAGCTCCTGCCTTCAGTGGGATTGTGGTGTCAGAACCAAAACCTGCCATCCTCCATGGCCAGGAGACTGCAGAGAAAGGAAACCAGACAGCAGAGATGAGGCATAGGAGGTGCTGAGCAGAGGCTTTGGCATCTGTGTGTGAGAGATGAGGTGGATGGAGTCTCCAGACAAAAAAGACCACGACTTAAAGAGCAAAGGCAATGAGTCATATGACTGTGATGAATTTTCTTTGGACCACTGCAGGAAGATCCATTTTCTATCTGGAATATAGCACAAGTCATCACCTCAAGAGGTGCAAGTGCTGCTGTAGATGTCTGTCCCAACCTTCTGTTCCAATAGTAATGAGCAGACAGTCAGAAAAGGCAATTTTTTTTCTCTCTTTGTGCTGGTGGAAATGAAAAATGGGCTTGTGTCAGAAATCCTGCTGAATAACCCACTTTATGATAGGCCTTTGTAGAGGGTAGTCTAAAAAACCTATTTTTAAGTGAAATTTTTATTTATTGTACACAGTGATGTGCCTTTCTTGAGAATCTGCAGTGGCTTTGCCCCCTCTCTGTGTGGAAGCCCTTTTGGAGCAGTGCCTGGTGGAATTCATGCTGGATGCATGGACCTACACCCAAAATAATTGCAGCTGTAGGTGATAGTCTGAGCTGTCCTGTGGGGCACTGGGGATGGATTAGAAATCAATAATGCTGGCTTTGAGCATTCCCAACCAGCTCCGGGCTCAGCCAAGGGATTATTTTTGATTTTTCAGATAGTGCCTCTGGAATGCAAAGTGCAGACCCTGGAGGGGGGCAGAGGATGGGGGATGATATTTCCATTTCAAATCCTACTTAATATTCTTCAGGAACTCTTACATAGGTCAGTATTTTCATTAGTGTTTAAAGTCATTTCTTTTGGTGCACAAGAAGGAATATTTCTGGCTTTATGGCTCAACAGAACTGATAGCCCAGGGAGAAAACTGGCTTTAAGCTGAAGGGAGGCAGGTCTGGAGTAGATATTAGGAAAAAATTGTTCCCTGGTAGGGTGGGCAGGCCCTGGCACAGGGTGCCCAGAGCAGCTGTGGCTGCCCCTGGATCCCTGGCAGTGCCCAAGGAGGGGCTTGGAGCCACCTGGGACAGTGGGAGGTGTCCCTGCCATGGCAGGGGTGGCACTGGATGGGCTTTAAGGTTCCTTCCAACCCAAACAGTCTGAGATTCTGAGATTGTAGATCACAATGAGTTTGATCCATTCATGTACCTTCTGCTGAAAGTCTCATCTTCTCCAGCAATTGCTTTGGAAAGGGTTAAACAGCAGAGGAAGGGAGAAGGGAACAGCTTCATTAGGATGGATATTCTAGCAGGGTTTATTATAGCTTTGACCTACAGAACATTCATAAGGGGAACAAATATTGCCTCTTCACTAATAATGAGTTTTGCCTGTTTGCCTGCATTGGTACCAGGAGAGGCAGGGATGTGAATTGCTCTGGGTGTAAGGAACCCTGGCTATTACAGTGGCCAGTGCTGCCCCTGGGTATCACCACTGCACCCAGAGATGCTTCTCAACAAGAAATGTTGTCAGACCTCCCAGCCCACACAGTTCATAGCCAGAGCAGCACACTCTGTGTCTCTCCCTTGTGGAGCAGCAGTTCCTGTCCTCCTCCCCCAGCATGTTTGCACTTCAGACACTCTGCTTTGCCTACAGCTGAGGAAATGGGCAGAAATTGCTACTTGGGTTTTACTTGTTACTTGGGCAGAAATTGTTACTTGGGTTTTACAGCTGTTAGTGCTAGGGACAGGTTTCTTTGGCCTTTTTTTCCCCCCCGCTGTTTATTCTATTTTATAATTTTCCCTGCAAGCAGCTGCCCTGACCTTTTGTCTAAACTTCCTAGAGATGCTTCTGTGTACAGGCATTTCCCCTTCTGCTTGAGCAATCTTGTACTTTGAAACTAATTTGACAAAGATCTCCAGGGTTAGTTCTAAGGAACTCTTAGCTCAACCCTGCTTTCCAAGGGCTCCATCTCTGTAGGCACTGGGGCTTCATCCCTCACCACTCTATGAGCTCCAAGCAGCTGAAGCAAGCTGGTGGCACAGGCAAACTCCCAGAAACCCAGATGCTTTTTAGTGGACAAAAAAAATACTCAGCTTTGACCAAGTAGTGACTCTGTGCATGGGTTTGCTGTCTCTCTTTCCTTTTGTGGCTGGATCCTTTCCCAGAGCTGTTGGTTGGTTCCAGCAGAGCTGAACCCTTCTGCTAGAGAGGGATGTCCTTCCATTTCTCTCCACTGACCAAGCTCTGTAAGTCCCCACCCTGGGCATCTCTCATGGTCTATGCTCTAAGCCCCACCACTTCTGTGCCATCTGTTTTGGTCCTTTGGTGGCTGTGCATCCTTTTCATGCCACACTGGATCCATTCTGTGGATTTCAGCTGCCTCCCTACCCTGAGTGCTTCACTGGGATGAGCATTTCCAAGGTCTGACATGCTTCTGTCACCCCTTGCACAGTAAATGTGTCTGTTCACATCCCTGTCTTCAAAAGGTCAGTGCAGCAAGTGGGGGCCATGGGCACAGACTTGGGGTGGTGGTTGAAGTCAAATTAAAAAAGATTAACTCAGCCAAGGAGACTTAATTGAAAATGGTAATGAGGAGCTCTGTGGTGTGATCCTGTTGTGCTGACACTTGGTTCCACTGGGTGGTTTCAGTGATACCAGGTTTGACTTCACACACAGCTGTGGGCTGAGGGCTCATAACAGGTACAGCCAAATTCCAGAGGAGTTCCTGGAGTCCCAGTGCATCCCAGTGCAGTACTAGATGTAGATTTAAATTAGATATTAGGAAACATTTCTTCATGGGAAGGGTGGTGAGACAATGGCACAGCTGCCCAGGGCAGTGGTGGAATCACCATCCCTGAGATGTTCACAAGCAGTGTGGATGTGGCATTTGGGGACATGGGCTAGTGGTGGCTTTGGCAGTGCTGGCTTAAGGGTTGGACTCAATGATCTTAAAGGTCTTTTCCAAACTACAAAATGCCATGACTCTGTGATTCTGCTGCTGTCTGCTGTCTCTCCAGCTGCTGTCCCCTCCACTGGTGTGTAACACACTCCACTCTCATTCCTCTCATGCTGGCTCTTGTCTGCCCCTCTGCTTGGGAATGATTCTAATATCACCCCTTGCCAAGCTCAATTTGTTAATGTGGGGGATGTTGGAGAAGGATAAACAGCCTCAGCAAGGCAGGGAGGGGTTCTGTGCTGTGTGAGGAGCAGCCCTGATGCTCCCCTTGCTGCTGTCCCTCTTTCTCCACACAGATCAACCCCCTCTCCTATGGAGGTGTGGTCCAGACCTACAGACTGCCCACCTACAGCTGCTATCCCAGGGACTCCTGGGCATCTCTCTGCAAGAAACTCTTCCTTGGAGAGCTCATCTACCCCTGGAAACACAAAGGAGACAAGCAGAACTAAAGACAGTAGAAGAACTTGGGAACTTGACCTGAAATCTTAACAACTCCTAATGCTTTGGGACCAAAGGCTGCTCAGAGCCAGCAAATGCTCCATCCCTTTAAGCAGATTTTGGTAACATAGGAAGGGCTGAATTTTTAAAGGCAAGTATTTTTAAACATTATTTTTCAACTTTCTCCTCCCCTGCACTGTGTTTGTATATTATGCTAATGATTATTTTGGAAGCAAAAGGTGAAACCCATCAGTGCCTCATGAAACCAGCACTCGGTGTCATGGAGGGAGCAGCTCCCAAATGGTCTGGGGATGAATTTCTCCTTCCATGTCAGCTCACAGAGCCATAGCAAATCAGCCCCTCAGGTGGTTTGGAGCCACAATGCTGTGATGCCTTCAGCCAGAGCATGTTTTGGACATTTTATGCTTCAGACCTCAAGCCAGCTGATCAAAACTATGTGGAGAATCAGCTCGTGGAGTCCTACACTGAAAACTGAACAGCTGGGTGTCTGAGCTCATGGGATATTTATTAACTTCTTTTGAGGAGGGCCTGCATTCACCCTCACTGCAGCACCAGAGGTGTTGGAGAGTGAGGCTGGAGGCCCAGAAGCACCGACTGTTTTATCATGATTCTGTGATTTCTCTTGAGAGAGTGCTTTGGATACATTTCCAAAGCACAGGAGTGCTTGGCTTTCCATGTTCTGGTCTCATTTTGATGTGTCTCCTATTCTCTCTCTTGGAAAGGGTGCCTGTGCCCTGGGGGATGTCCCACTGGGCATCAGTGGTTGTGTCAAATTTAAATACAGTCCTTACCCAAAATACACTTCCTGCAGCTCTGCTCATTCCTCTGCCCCAGCTCAGACAAGGCCTTTGAGGTTTCTTAGGGCCATGTGAGGGAGGCAGGACTACTTGGGCACTACATGGTGCCCTGTCACCCTGAGCCAGGGCAAATCCCTGGGAAAGCCAGTGTGGCAAAGCCCCCTCACCATCTGCCATTACAGGCTCTGTTGGGACATCCCTGCCTGCAGAAACTGCAGAGAACAAGCTGTTCTGGGCTTAAAACTCCTGTGCAGCATCTTCTTGTCCTGGAATGATCACTACCTGAGGAATTCTCTGCACTCCAGGTGTGAATAACTGCAGACTGTGATGCATTCAGGGGATGAATGGTGTAAATAACATTTTCACTCCAGCTGAAGTCAGAGTCATGAGCCCCATCCTCACCTGGCACTGAGCGGAGCAGGTTTACACCTCACCTCCCTCTCATCTTTCCTGTGGAGCTCCTAAATGATATCCTCTGGTTCCTCCCACGCCTGCACAGTTCAGTTTGCTGACTGCTGTGAGAAACTTTGTTATTTTTGGTCTTGTGAAAGTAATGTTTCTAATATCCTGGCTTTTAAAATCTGCCTGTGGGACCAGACAGTTCATGCTGGTCCTAATCAAGGTACAAATCCTTAGGTACAAATGCCATGATAGCCCCAGTGACAGCCCAGAGCCACAAAAATCAGCAGCTGTGACCTTCCTACTGGGACCCTGCCAGATGTATCAGATGTTCCAGTGCTGGGTTTGTTTACTGAAGGCTGATACTGACTCTGGCGTGGGGAAATACCAAACCAAGAACATGAGCTCTGGGTCTCAGCTCATCTCCCACATGACAGGAGGCCACAGGGCTTCCCAGCTGGATTGCGAGCTTTGGGTGCAGGATAAACACATTCAGAGCAGTCCAAGCCCCATGTGGGCAGCTGATCTGCCTTCCTGGATGAGAACAGTGCCCACCACCTTTGTCTCTAGCTCGCCATTCTGCATTAGGGGTTGCTGCAAGAGTCTGTCACCTTTGGCTCCAGCCCTTATCCATGCCTGGGCCTCAAACCAGGAAAGCTCAAACTCCCCATTTACCATCTCAGCAAGCTAAATATGAGGAGTGTTCCTGCACTGATGAGTGCTGCAGGTGACAGAACACTCCCCTGCAAACCAAGGCAAAGCTCCTCCACAAACCTGAAACCCTGAGTCTTCTGCAAGGGAGAACCTTGAGCAGCCCAGCTGGGCAGTGGCAGCTCCTTGTGCTTGCAGTTCTCCTGTGGCACCCGGAGTGGTGCCTGAGCTGCCTCTCTGCTCCTTGCACTGGCTGTTCTCCTTGCCTGCAGTGGTATCTGAGCATCTCAGTTGCTCCTGCTGGATGTTTGCCACGTCTCTCCTCTTCCTTTCCAGTCCCTGCTGGAAGAGTCTTCCCCCACCCTTTCCGACTGTGTGCAGGGACATTACAGCAGTGCAGCAGACATCCTGCTCAGGAGCACCTGACCTTATGTCATCTCTCTAATTAGAGTCAGGATCAGCCTCATCTTCCACAGCAGCACAGACTGGCCCAGTGCTGGCATTTCCTCAGGGAAGAGGCTGCTGGTAAGGCCCTGGCTCTGATTTGTCCTCAGATCCATGTTATCCAGAGCAGCTCTTGGATGAGAAGTAGTTAAAAATTCCAGTTCTCCCATTCCTACCACGCACCCCTTATAGCAGGCAGCAAACAGGCTTTGCCAGCCATCAGTCAAAGACTCTAATCTTACAGACTTCTTTTAATACTGCATTTCCTTATTATTATTTCTCCCACCTTTTGGTTCCCAGTGCTGCCACAAACCCCCTCTTTACATAGGCAGGGGGTTTGTGAAGGAAAATGTGATTCACTGTGTGAAAAACTCTATCCTAGAGAGAAATTCTGCCTTGGAGAAATACTTTCTTCCCCTAACCAGGACGGCGTATGATGATGCTGAAAGGAAACCTCAGTAATTACTGCACTGAAAGCTCTGGTTATGGGTTTGGGAGTCTTCCCTGATGCTGCAACTGGACTGTGCCCTGTTCAGGCCCACACAAAGACTCTTGCACAAATACACAACCCATATATTGACTTCCAGTAGTGTAAGGAAAATCTACCTTTCACCCTGCAGAGAATGAGCTGCTTTCCTTCTGCCCTGTGCTGCCTCTTCCTGCTGCTCCAACACCATCTTCTTGCTTAACTCTATCCCTCAATGATTTAGCCTTTGTGCTCAGACCTGCTGGTCACACCATCCCAGGGAGCTGCTGGAGGTTGTGATCATCTGCTCCAGCCCCTGCTCATGCAGGGCCACCCAGGACTGTGTCCAGATGGCTTTGGGCTATCTCCAAGGATGGCAGCTCCAACAACCTGTGCCAGTGCCTGATGACCCCCTCAGTGAAAGGTGTGGCTGGTGACCCCCACAGTGAAAGGTGTGACTGGTGACCCCCTCAGTGAAAGGTGTGGCTGGTGACCCCCTCAGTGAAAGGTGTGGCTGGTGACCCCCACAGTGAAAGGTGTGCCTGGTGACCCCCTCAGTGAAAGGCTGTTCCCTCTCCCAGCAGGGTTTGAGGTGTTTCAGTTCATGACTCTCATCCTGGTGTTGTGCAGAGCTCGGTGACACCGTGACTCAGATTGCCTCAGGAATGTGAGCATTGGCAGTGCTGTGCCATCTCTGCTCCTGTTCCCCCTCTTCAGGCATTGCTAGCAGCCCCTTTGCCTTTTGGGGGATAAAGCCTTGGTTAGGGGGTGCCTGTGCATTGACTCAGATCCCTTTCCTGCTCCTTGGTCCTTTTTTGGGATTGGGAGCAGAGAGCCCTTTCTGCTGCCACACTCCTGCCTGTGCTGAGCTCACAGGGGGAGCAGCACCCCCAAACCTGGCAGTGTCCAGGTCTGCAGGGTCAGGGAGCAGCCCAGAGTGTGGAGCCCTGGGCTGTGCAGGGGGAGTGTGCTGTGCACACACAGGGGATGGCTCTGGGTCTCAGCTCATCTCCCACACGACAGGAGGCCACAGGGCTTCCCAGCTGGATTGCGAGCTTTGGGTGCAGGATAAACACATTCAGAGCAGTCCAAGCCCCATGTGGGCAGCTGATCTGCCTTCCTGGATGAGAACAGTGCCCACCACCTTTGTCTCTAGCTCGCCATTCTGCATTAGGGGTTGCTGCAAGAGTCTGTCACCTTTGGCTCCAGCCCTTATCCACGCCTGAGCCTCAAAGCAGGAAAGCTCAAACTCCCCATTTACCATCTCAGCAAGCTAAATAAGAGGAGTGTTCCTGCACTGATGAGTGCTGCAGGTGACAGAACACTCCCCTGCATCCCAGGGCAGGTACTGGGGAGCAGTGGAGGTGTCTGGGGGAAGCTGCAGAACCCAGGCCCAGCTCGGGGCAGGGACAGGCTGCAGCTCCTCTGCCATCCACTGTTATTGAACATCTGGCACTGGGGAAGTTCGTGAGAACTTCACAGTTCTTGTAATCAATCCCCCTCACAGTGTTTTCTGGTTTTGAGTAAAGTATTATAAAAGAGCACTGACTCATTGAGAGTTTCATTAGAAGTGTGTGAGTGTTTGTGATGAGGTTTGGCAGGGAAGTTCAAAGCCACTGTGCATTTTCCTTCCCTCACGTGAGGCACCAGGCGTTCAGCAGGAGCAGAGTGCTCCCACAGCAGTGACACAGGGCTTGTTCTAAATGTCACCACCAGCCCCAGCTGAAGGTGACTTCCTTCCTCCTGCAGCCCTGATGTGAAACACAGCCTGGTGATGTGAAACACACACAGTCCTGTGCACCAGTCCAGGAACGAGCCCTGCCTGGCTTCAGGCTCATCAGAGCTCCAGTTGTGCAGGCAGGAGTGGTGGCACAGCAGGACAGTGCCAGTGCCAGCTGCAGCAGGGCTGAGGAATGCTGCACATTCCAGTGCTTGTGTGCAAGTTTAGGGATGGAGAGCTTTGTTATACTGATAGGTTTTATTGGTTAATTCAACCTTTTAATCAGAATTTAAATGGATTTTGATAACTCCAGAATAAAGATGTTGGGAGGAACACCCAGCCCTTAACTCTAGCTTGCCTTGCTGCAGAGCACAGTGTGCTGTGAGCAGCACAGGGACAGGCAGGGCAGCTGCTGCAGCCTCAGCTGATCCAGGCTGTTCATGCCCATCCCAGGGCCTGGCTGGGCAGCTCCCACACCTCTGCTCTCACACACTGGGGTATTTCAGCATTTGTCCACCTATAATTGTTCTGCCAAGGCCAAACCACAAAGCTTGTGCAAGGAGGATCCAATGATGCCACCTCAGGCCTGGGAGATGGTTGAAGTGATGCTCCCCCAGCTCTGGGTGTTCTGTGATTCAGAGGGGGATCCTTGGTGTCCCATGGGCCTGCCCTGCCCATGGGGTGTGCTCAGTGTGAGGGGCAGGACAGGGGACAATCCTCTGCACAATCTGAGCAGCAGCCCAAGCTGGGCCTGGGAGTGGTGGATCCTTCTGGCCACTCCTTCCCTCCTCACACCAGAGCACTCACTCCCTTGAATTCCACCCCTTTCTCCTTTTCCCTCTCCCAGCTGAATGCATGGCTGTGACAAACTCCCCACATTGCAGCAAACCCCTGCCAGGAGCCTCTGCCAGGATTTTCCCTCTCCCTCTGCCTCCCACCTCTTGCCACAATTCCCACCTGGCTGGGCTCTGTTTGGTTCCCACCATCCCACCAAGACAGGAGAAATCCCTGGAAGGAGTGAGGGTTTGGCTGCCCTGTGGAGCAGCAGGACTGAGACCCAGAGGCTGAGAAAAGAGAGATAAAATAGAGGAGATTGCTGCTCATCCTCTCCTGTCCATTTGCACTGCTTTGGATCCATTGGGCTGTTGGACAGAAATGAGGCTTTTCTCTCCTCCTGGAGAAAAAAAACATCCCCATGTCCCCCTCTCCCCTTGCCCTGCTCTGCCCACCAGGCTGTGCCCTGGATGGGTGTTTCTGCACAGGCTTCACCTTGCAAGCCCCTTTACCCTGGCAATGCAGTGGCAGGGATGGCAGTGGCTGCAGGAGGACATCAGAAATCTATCTGCTCTTTGGAGTGGCTTTAGCTGTTCCTTCGGTGTGCTTCAGCTGCTCCTTGGGTGTGCTTTGGCTGCTCCTTGGGGTGGCTTTAGCTGCTCTTTGGGGTTTCTTTGGCTGCTCCTTGGGGTGGCTTTAGCTGCTCTTTGGGGTTTCTTTGGCTGCTCTTTGGGGTGGCTTTAGCTGCTCCTTTCCCCTGTCCCTGCTCTCACTGTGCTTGGCAGCAGCCGTGGCAGCTGGTAGAGGGCACAGAGGGGGGCTGGGTTTGGGCCCTGCCAGTGGAGAAGCCAAACTGAGCAGCTGAGGGTGAGGATCCCCTTGGCCCACAGGACACAAACCCCTCACCAGAACAGGCCCCAAAGGGAGCCAGGGCTCTAGGGCAGCACAGGAGCCCTCAGGCTGTGGGAGAGGAGACGGAGCCAGACAGAGACCCCCAAAGAGGGGACAGCCCCCCCTCCCTGTAAGAGGGAACAGCTCTGGAGAGAGCCCAGGGAGGCCACAGAGATGCTCCAAGGGCTGGAGCCAGGCTGGCAGAGCTGGGGGTGCTCACCTGGAGAGGAGAAGCTCCAGGGACACCTCAGAGCCCCTGGCAGGGCCTGAAGGGGCTCCAGGAGAGCTGCAGAGGGACTGGGGACAAGGGATGGAGGGACAGGACACAGGGAATGGCTCCCACTGCCAGAGGGCAGGGATGGATGGGATATTGGGAATTGTTCCCTGTGAGGGTGGGCAGGCCCTGGCACAGGGTGCCCAGAGCAGCTGTGGCTGCCCCTGCATCCCTGGCAGTGCCCAAGGCCAGGCTGGGCAGGGCTTGGAGTGACCTGGGACAGTGGGAGGTGTCCCTGCCATGGCAGGGGTGGCACTGGGTGGTCTCTGAGGTCCCTCCAACACAAACCATTCTGTGGTTCTATAAAAACATCCCCCTCGAATCCATCTCCTCTCCCTCTCCATCCATGAGTGACCCCCTGGCATGAGCAGCCTGCAGAGCTCCCCCAGGAGCTGCAGGATCCTCACAGGCTCAGGGCACGTGGGTCATGGGCATGGCATTCCCTGGGAGCAGCAGGCTGGGAACAGGGATGGTGAAATGCCCAGCTCTGGATGCTCTGTTCAGCACAGGGATTTGTCAGCAGTGATGGCAGGGACGGGTTCCTCCACACCTTCCATCGGGAATCCCCTGGGATTGGGTTTGGGAGTGGTTCCTCAGCCCAGTGCCAAGGGATTCCAGGGGAGAACATCCAGGTACAGCCGGGTACAGCACCCACAGCCCCATTCCCTGGGGACACGCTGCATGTCCCCATGGCTGCCCCTGCCCCACCGACAATGGGGTGCACACACCTCCCACCCCAAACCCCGCTGCCTGCCATAACATGGATGATCACCCACCTGGATGCCCCAAACTGTGGGTGCCCCTCTTTCTGCATGCCCACCCCATATCTGGAGGAGGACACCTGTATGCCCTCCCTCCCACGTACCCACCCACCTGGACATCTCTCACTCCTGGATGTCCCAAATCCTGGGCGCCGCCTCTTCTTGGATGTCCCACACATCTGGATGTGCCCGCATCTATGTGCCCCTCCCATTTGGATGCTCAGCTCACATGTGGATGCCTCCCCAACCTAGATGACACCTGGGTGCCCCGCACACACTCGGATGTTCCCTAATCCCGCTCCCCCAGTCCCCCTCCCCAATCCCAGTTCCCCAATCCCGGTTCCCAGTCCCGCTCCCCCAATCCCAGTTCCCCCAATCCCTCTCCCCCAATCCCGCTCTCCCAATCCCGGTTCCCTCCGTCCCGTTTCCCCAATCCCGGTTCCCCCCCAATCCCGGTTCCCCAGTCCCGGTTTCCCCCCAATCCCGGTTCCCCCAATTCCGCTTCCCCCAATCCCACTTCCCCAATCCCGGTTCCCCCAGTCCTAGTTCCCCCAGTCCCGGTTTCCCCCCAATCCCGGTTCCCCCAGTCCCGGTTTCCCCCCAATCCCGGTTTCCCCCCAATCCCGGTTCCCCCAGTCCCGGTTTCCCCCCAGTCCCGGTTTCCCCCAGTCCCGGTTTCCCCCCAATCCCGGTTTCCCCCCAATCCCGGTTCCCCAGTCCCGCTCCCCCAGTCCCTCCCGCGTCGAGCACTACCCCGCCCGACTCGCTATCCCATCACGCTCCGCTTCCCGCAAGGCACGCCGGGAGCTGTAGTCCTCAGCCGCCCAGCCGTCCGCTGGCCCTGCCCCTTGAGCTCTCAGGGGCGCGTCGGGGCGGGGCGCTTCTGATTGACGTGTGTCTGAGCCTATGGTGGCGGCGAACATTTGTGGGAGGCGGGGCAATTTCTGATTGACGTACGGTTTAGCCTATGGGAGCGGCGAGAGCGGGGCCGAGGCGCCGCCTGGGCTCGGGCGGACACGGCGGCTCCGTGAGGCGGGGGCGGCCCTGCCCGGCTGAGGTGGGTGGCGGGACCGGAGCTCGGGCTGACCTGGCGCGGTGCTGCGGCCCGGCGGGGCGGAGCGGAGCGGGCTCGGGGCCCGGTGGGGCGGCGGCGCTTTGTGCGAGTGGGAGGGCGGAGCGGAGCCGTGTCAGCGGCGGGGGCGCTGCGGGGCCGGGCCGGGCCGGGCCCTTCCTCCGCCTTCTCCTCCTCCTCCTCCTCCGCCGCAGGTCCCAGCGCGGCCCCGGCGGAAGATGCGCGGCCGGCGGTGAGCGGCGGCGGGGCAGAGGCCGCAGCCCGAGGCTGGCGGGCGGAGGATGCGGGCCGGGCCGCCCCGCCGATGAGAGGCAGGATGGGCACCCAGGGCAGCCCGGTGAAGAGCTACGATTACCTGCTCAAGTTCCTGCTGGTGGGGGACAGCGACGTGGGCAAGGGGGAGATCCTGGAGAGCCTGCAGGACGGCGCCTCCGAGTCCCCCTACGCCTACAGCAACGGTAAGGGGGACTGGGGGGCACCGGGCCGCGGGACCTCATCGCTGTCACACCCCTGCCGCTGTCACCTCCCCCGCCATTGCTGTCACCGCATCCCGCGGGGACCCCGAGGGCCGTCACCCCAGCGCCGAGCTGGCGGCCAGGGAGGGGTTGTTTTGCTTTTTCCTTTGTTTTTTTTTTTCATTAACTGGGAGCGCAGCGCGTGGCAGGCAGCTCAGAGGCCTCCTCAGCGCCTTGAAATGCCCCAAATCTGGAGGAGAATGCGGGCAGAGGGGCTGGTGTCTGATGTAATCCCTGGATGCGCAGCCGGACCCTTCCCGAGCGGTCCCAGGGCTGCCCTCCCTGCTTCTCCCCGGCTCCCACAAGGACCGAGCCGTTCCCAGAGGAAGCCGGGGCTGTAACAAAAGAACTGGAGCCTGATTCCCAGCCCGGAGCCGCTCTGCCTCGGTGGCTGTACCGGGAGCGGCCGCGTTGGCTGATCCACCTCCTGCCAGCGTCGAGGTTCCTAATGGAGCCCATGACAGACCATTAACTACGCTATCACAAGACCGTAATTAAGAGCCAAGGAGCAGCGCTGTGCATTTCCTGCAGTTACGGTGTAGCGCGGCCTGGCGGGGTGCGGGTCCTGCTGTGGGTGTCAATCTGTCATCCTTCCCCTCCTCCGTGCACAATAACATCCCCAAGGGCTCGGACCCTGTATCATCGCTGCAGCCCAGGGCAGGAGCAGGTAGTACCGAGTTTTGCCTGTACAGGAACCCGAGGGAATCGGGAGCTCCTTGGTGCTCAGCGCTGGCCAAATTTGGAGCGTGCAGAGTGGTGTGGCTCCGACCACACTCGGTCCTCCTCAGCTCCCCAGGAGCTGATGCAAATGCACACCTGCTCCACGGAGATTTACGGGGAGGTGGTGACTCAGAAGTGGAGCTGCCTGTGAAATGGGAGCAGCTCTTCAGGAAGGAGAAGGCTTTGCTATCGTTCATCTCCTCGGGTGTCTGGCTGGGCTGGTGTGGTTTGCCTTTGAGGAGGTGCTGGGCACTTCAGAGCTTCCCTGAAGAGAGTTTGTGTTTCTGGAGAACCTGCCTCACCCGGGAGCTGTGGAACTGCTCCGTGGGGTTGGTGTTTACTATGTAGAGTGTAACGGGGTGGCTCTTTTAAGTGAAGTGTTGCAGCTGGAATTGTCTTCTGATTGAAGTGGGTTTGAAGCAGACAGGGTAGGAATAAGGAGTGAGTTAAGTGGGGTCTTTGGTTTGCACCCAAAGAACGGGGATTTTGGCTATGGCTGTAGACCTTTTGTCTCAGAACCCACTGTTTTGTAGCAACTAAATGCCAGCATCTTTTTGTTGGAAAAAGAAATCTCAGTGAATAGTATCAGAACCTTCCCTTGTCCTCTGTGGGCAATTGAGCCCATTCCTAATTAGAGAATTAGGTCACACACTGTTGTTTCACAGTAATATATGCTCTGACAGGCTCTGCTTCTGTTGATTCTGGGAGGCGACGCACCTTTAGGATAATCAGCTGGAGTGGCTTTGATATCCAAGTGAATTTGATCCTGCTGATGCTGCTGACAGCCTTGGCAGTGGAACTCCCTGTGCCTCTGGCACAGCTGGGACGTGCTGACAGGGCATGCTGCTCCCTTCCCTGACAGACACCATCCCCTGGGCTCTTGGGTTTTGGGAACAGCTCGAGCCTGGCGTCCTCTTTGGCACGTCCCTAATGCCATCCCAAAACAGCAGTGCCAGAGTGTTATGTGGAGGTTGTCTTTGTAAATCTGCTTGTAAGCACGTTGTCCTTGTCCTCATCCCCTCCCAGATCCCACATCCCAATTTTAAAATGAGTGTTGTGTCATCTCCCACTGTTTTGGTCAGTGCAGAAAGTACAACTGGTGTGTGCTTTGAGCTGCTCTTGTGGTGGGGATGTCTCATGTGGAGCTCAGGTCCCTGACCTTGGCAGGATGGGAGAGAGAGCATTTGCCTTCTCTGTCTGGTTGGGGTCTGCTGCTTTTGCTCTTGTGGAAACAGTTGTGAGCAGCCAGGTTTTGTGATGCAGCATGGAATGGATTGTCCTTTCCAGCTCGGGAAGGCACACCCTCAGAAGTGAAGCTCTGTAAATGTAGCTCTGTGTTTTGGCTGCTCTGTATTTTAGCTGCTCTTACCCAGCCTATTAGAAAATGGATCCAGGGATTCCTCTCTGCTCCGTGGGCACTGAGTATTGGATCAGCACACAGCTGAGTGATGAAAAGCCCTTTCTCTGTTGGATTTTAGGTGCTGTAAGCAGCCTCTGCCTGCCTGTGTCCAGTATCTGAGAGCCTGGGGTGCAGTGGGAGCTGTGTCTGTCACACAGCACCATAGGGGCTTCTGTCCATCCTTTTTCAGGATCCCTGAACAGCAATGTCACTTCTCAGCACAGCCTTGGAGCTTGGCACCTCAGTCTAAATCAGGCACATCTTGTATTGGCCCCTGCAGTTCCTGTGGTGCATAGCAAGGCCTCAGCAATGTCCTTTCTTTAGATTGCTGGCAAAATAAAGCTCCTCTGTGGGAGCAGAGGTGGTTGTTACTCCTGGTGCAGGAGATGTGAGCACCATTGCTGCACCAAGCTGTGAGGCCAGTGAGTATGGAACTTCTAGTGACAAAAAGGTGGCATTTTGAGGAGGAAACTGACGTCCAGGTGTCACTTGTGTGTTCCTTACTAGGGTCATGCTGAGCTATGGAGAGTGTATCAGTCTCCAGGAGCATCACCAAGCATGCTCCCTGCATATTGTAACTGGTTTGGACTTAGCTTTTGCCTTTTCTTGGCCATCCACAGAAGATCCTGAATTAAGCCTCTCTTCCAAACTATTGTTTGGACAGGGAGAACATTAATGCTCTTCTGGGCTTGCAACGTTGTCCTTCTTCCCAGCTTTCACCCTCCCTTTCCCAAATGTGTAGTTGTGGAGGCAGGATGCTGTTCTGAGAGGTTCTGCTGCTCTGGACAGCTGGAGGATCTCACCTGGGAACCTGAAATCCTGCATTTTCCCTGAATGCCCTCTGTGCTGTCAGCGCTGGCTCCTTCTCCCCAGGTGCAGGAAGGGGCTGCTCTGTGCTGTGAGCCACAGGGTTACACCAGACTAAACTGCTTTACTTGAGGGTGAGTGCCCTGCACAGCTCACACAGCTGTCCTCATCCATCCCCAAGCCCTGAAGCAGGACAGAAATGTGCTGGTCCTGGGGTGGTTTGGGCCATGGATGTGGTGGAGCTGCAGGTGAAGCAGGGACAGTGTGCATGCCATGGAGGCTGCTCCTCACCTGAGGGACCCGTGGTGGCTTTGTCACCACCGTGTCACACATCCACTCTCGAGTAGCTGGTTATTCATGTGCTGGAATGAGCTCACCCAGCAGGTTTGTTGGCTTGCAGGAGCAGCCAGCCCTGAGCTGAGCCCTGGTGAGTCAGGGCAGCTCTCAGTGCCCGGCAGGAGAGGGCTGGGGCTGCCCTGGGAGACCGGGCTGGTGCCCCAGAACAGGGCCAGGGCTGGGCTCACCACACACTGAGGGTGATGTGCCCCTCCTCACATGATGGAGGGCTTTTTCTGCCGCTGCCTTCCCCCTCACCTGCTGCTGTTCCCACAGGAAAGCAGAAATGTGTGTTAGGGAGAGAGTAGAGCGTGTTTTGGAGCAGATGGCTTTGACTGGAAAGGGGGTGGATTTTTATTTTTATTTTCCCTGTCCTCAGCTTGTATTAAGAAAGTGATGAGGATGCAGCCAATGTCCTCACTCTGATCTTGCAGTGAGCACACAAAAGCTGAAATGAGAGCCCTGCCCTGCACAGAGTTGGTGCTGACACCAGCCCTAGTGCAGGAGTCCCAGTACCTCCTTTCAACCTTGTCCCTTGGCTGGGCTTTAGTACCTTTATTCAGGCACCATCCTTTGGTGCTCTCTATCCTACTGCTATCCAGACCCAGGCAATGTCAGGGAAGAGGCACCTGAGGTGCTGCTGACAGATTTTATGGTTCGGGTGGAAACTGGATCTTTCCCAAGAACTCTTCCCCAACAGTAGAGGTGCAGGAATTCAGCTCCTGGGCAGCAACAAGCCCACCAGGGCTTGGGTTCCCTGCCAGGAGCAAGGGCTGGGGCAGTGCAGCTTCCTGCCCTTTTCCTGGCCAGGAGGAACGGGAGAGGCAGCTGAAGACACTGCCCAGCCCTTGGAGGTGGTCGGTCCCTTCCAGCCGCCACTGTTTGCCTGGGGGCTGCTGTTAATTACCAGGTTGTTTATTTGAGTGATCCACAGCTTTGGATGTCTTCTCCCTCTGGTTGTTTTTGTGCAACTGTCTGAATCTGGAGATCTCTAAGATGTTTCTTTCAAGTCTTCCTTTACAGCAGCTCCTCTCCTGATCTGTCCTGTGACCCCTCAGGCACCAGCGTGCAGCCAGAACCTCCCCTGGTAGTTCCATGCCGAGCAGGAGATAACCTGTCCTACAGCAGCCTGCCCAGGCAGAGGGTGAAGAGACACTTTGTGTGATCCTCCCTGCTGCCATGGAGGGCATGTGAAGGGATGTTTCCCAGTGCTTCTGCTCCTTGCCTGCTGGGTTTCCAAGACTGACCATGGAGATGGTTCTTGCTTCTGATCTGCAGCCTCTGTGGTGCTGCCGTGTTTGGCTGCAGGTCCTGCTACACTGGCTTGCTTTTCACAGCCTTAAAAAGTGTGCAGCTGAGCAGCTCTGCTCTAAACTTGAACTTGTGTAAGCACAGGACATCTCTTCATACTGGCTGACCCTCCTGAGCAGACAGGAATTGCTGGCTGACCCCGTGTGCAGTGAAACCTCAGCCAGGGCCAGCACTGATGTAGTGGCACCTGCTGGGCATAGGCATGAGAGCTGCAGGTGCTGAGCCTGGGTTTCTGACAGCAGCTGAGTGCTCATCCTGGTGCTGCTGCGCTGTCAGGGCTCTCTGGCATCAGCAGGGAGGGAAGCCTTGGTTCTGGTGCTGCTTTGCAGCCTCCTCCTCCTCACCTGGCCTGCTCCCACCCGGTGTGTCC